ATCTCTGAGTGGAATAGTACAGTTGTGCAGATAGATGTGTGGTCAGGTTCACGATACTCACAGTGTTCAGTCTGGAAGCAAAGCAGCAGTTCAATCCCTAGGTATACCAGAAGCCAAACAAATGTGTGTGCAGTTGCCTAGCCTGCGTTAATGGAGGCCCACCAGGCCAAACCGGAAGTTATGTGATCAGTTAACTTTTTCAAAGAGGAGCATGTTATTGGAACACTTCATTCAATGCAGTAAGCTTTGGTTTTGCTTTGGTTTAGAGCCACTTGATGTAGGAGCGAAGTTTCAGGAAGGGTCATGTCTTCCTCGTTGAGTGTTTTCCCCAGCAATTTAACAGGAGGTGCTTTTGCCATCAACTCTCAAAAGAGTATTTGTCTTGGTTTTTCTCTTCGGAGGGATGGTAGTGTCCTTTCCTTTACCTGATCTCCATTCCACTATGTAGTTCTCACCTGGTATCTTCTGTTTCTCTTCCAGAGTGAAAGAATTGAAAAAGGCCAAGGAACTTGAAGATATACAGCAGCATCCCTTAGCAATGTGACATTGCTTTTCAGACTATTTTCATTTCTGTTTTTAGCAGAGACATGCAGCAACATACACACGCACATGTGCGCGCACGCGCGCGCACACACACACACACACACACACACACACACACACACACACACAATCCCTCTGCAGTTTTGGGGAGATCAGCTGCAGGATTTTAACAGGAATGTTTTGGTCATTGCATTTGCACTTTCATGGACAACTTTTAATTTGATCAGCAAGACATCTTGGAACTCAATCTTCCATTGGATCATGGGAAAACAAGACACCACAAGGAATTGAAAGAGGGTTCTTCTGCTTAGGAGAAGCCTTCTCCCTTCTCATATAGGGCTGTACTCAAACATCGTGTGGAACTGTGCAAATACTTATACCAAAAATATAGATAAGAAAAGGTGGGGATGCACTAGCAAAAAACGAGAATGCTCTTCCTGCACCTGTCAATTATTTCCAAGAAGCTGAATCTTTGGGATTGGTTCTCAGTGGAGGGCTTAGATCATACAAATCTTTATTGGGTCCGTGTGTTCTCATTTCCCTCACTGTTTTTCTTTTCTTTGTTTGTTTTTGTTGTAATCTCTACAGCACACAATGCAACTTTTAAAATCTGCAGGTTTTTAATGTGTGGAAATTTGCAGAGGGGCGGGTGTGTGGTAAACGGGTAATGCATGGGAAAAAATGAGAAACAGCTTACAGAGTTTATTTTCTTGTCCCCACCACCTCCCAAGAACCTGCGAGTATAGGAGTCATCTTACCCCTTTTCTCATGTTCAGCACTTTAATTTTTGGCCTTACTTCCATGTGCAATGAGAATTAGAGAATTGGTAAAGCATGTAGCTTTTTTTTAGTAACCTTGGAAACTGTAGTCATTCTAAGGAATCATAAACCTTGCCTGGACATTTGCCACCTAAAAGATCAGTGTGGTGCTGCGTTCTGGCCAGTAAATTCCATATTTTGGCTATATCTCATCCAAACTGAGCAGTTTCTGTGTATATATAGAAGGTAGAAATGGAAAGTGAGAAAATATTTGAAAGGGATTATATTAATTGCTAAATATTTTATTCACAAAGGTCAATAACATGGCAAGATAAAATTATTTGTATAGTTTTGTCTGAATGAGCAAGAAAAATGTGGATGTATTGTTTGTATATATTGTATATATTAAAACAGAGATATGTGCATGAAATCAAGAAAAAAGAAATGAACAAAAGCAAAGCATTAGTGGCTATGGTCTGTAAAATGAAACAAAAAAAACTTTATTTCACTATAAGAGTACTTTATTTTAAATGTTCTTTAGAAGAACATTTTGCTAAAGCATGACTAAACTGCAAAAAAAAAAGAGCTACTGTATTTAGAGTTAGGAAAAAAGGCAGAGTAACATTACTTTAAAAAAAGGATATGTTTACATTTAATTTTGGCTACCAGGAGTTTATTTTATTTTATTTAGTATTTTTTTGCCAATGGTGCCAAGTAATGTGAATGCTAATATTGCTTAAGAAAATTAAGTTACTTTTGCTAAACAGATAATCATGAGTCAGTATAAAGCTTAACACCATCCACTCACTCCAACAAAGAACACTTAGAATGATCAAAACCTGACAAAAGAAATAGTATGATAAGTAGAAAAATGTCTCATGTTTTCATATCTCCTGATGGAAACCAGAAAATGTAACAAAAATTGCACAAAAAAATAACTAAAAATTAAAAAGATGCAAACTGGTCTTGTAGGGACGTCATGGTATACTACTCTTTCCACGTAATGAGGAGCCAAAGAAATCTGATGCTTTTAAAAAATTAAACTACTAATGTTAAATTGAGAGAATAAAGTTTGCATTTGCTGATGCCAGTTTAAAATTCCCAGGTCAAGTTTCAGGATCAGTTGGTGTAAAGCTGAGATAATAGTTTTTTCTTGGTTCTGGCTGCCAACTGTGTGTTAAAACTCAAGGCTTGTTGTGAAGCCTGAAAATATTCACAAATAAGCTTTTAAACTGGTGTCGTTAGAAGGGAGGTAGATACAAAAAGATTGTGGTAAAAACTGGGGTCAGTGCTCTTGGTGCCTTTTCTATAATTGTACTTGTTTTTTAATTACTTCCTTTCACTGCCAACCTCGGGTTACTGTACAGTATATGTCTTACTGCTTGTGATCAGCTTGGCAAAAGCGACAGCCCCACAACTAGTGGCCACCTGTACATTTGTAAACTGACCTGACTCGATTTTGTTTTTAAATGTGTGGATTACGTTGCAGCTATTGCAGTCCCCATCTAGCTACTTATTATTTTACACAATTTGACCTATAGGAGGACACTGTGTAATTTATAAACACACAATTTTGCATTCATAAATGGGAATAGAATGTGTAAGCCAGCTCTTTCAGAGTATCATATGTTAATACTGAATTTAGATACATTTATTCCATTTATTATGGTACAAAAACTGATCTTTTGACAAGAGTAATGACCTCAGTGATTTGCTTTAAGCCTCACATTTGTTATTATTTTATGTAACGTTTCACATGCTACATTATTAATTGAGTAAGTTAGACAATTCTGGAAGATGAAGACTTAGATAGAATTAGGAGGGTTCTTACGGAGGGGATAGGAAGTAGGTTCAAAACCTACCAGTGTAGACTACCAGTACAACTGTGAATCCTAGGTGAGGTACAAATGCACTTCCACTGAAATGAAGCATTTCTGTCCGCTTTTTCTTGGTTGTGAATCTTAATTTTGAATATAAGATGATAGGCAAGCGCAGCTTTCTTGGATAATCTGAATTCCCAAGTGCCAGGAGTAGGACTTCATTATAAAATTAATAGCTAATCTTATTCTGTCTCCTGAAGATTTAATTGCTATTCTTGTTACCCATTTGAAATCAGCTGTACTGTGTGAACGAAATAAAGACAATTAACTCGAACCCCTCTCTGGCTGCACGGTCGCTTATGGCAGTTCCACACAGTAGTTGGCGCCCAATGGGGGGTCCCTGAGACTTGCATGTAAAACTAGTCTAGATGTCTTCTTTTTTGTAAGTTTTATTTTTGTAATTGTGCATGTAAAGCATCATTGAATCAATGGATCTGTTGAAGAAATCAGCTGCTGGAAACCATGCAAAATGTTTTGAATTGCCCTTAAAATATGGAAAATGTTTTCTGAATGCTTTATATTCTTTCTGCTGTAAATTAAAAATGAAGAAAATTTCCCCATACTTTGTGTGTGTTTTGATTATACCTAATACTGAAATCCAAGGTGATCAGCAAGTCTCAACCATAGGGAATAATTTCACGTACTTCCACCCAGATGTATGTTCTGACATTGAATGTTACAGTTTCAGGTATGTCCATGAAAAAAATTCTTAGCGTGAGCCACTGTTCCTAGAACACTGCTTTTCAGCTCTCTTAGGCACCTCTCAACATATCAGAATCATTTGTCTAAGTGCAGTGATTTGAAACAAGGATACCAATTTAAATTTATCAGTTAAAATCCTCTGAAGTTTTTAAAAATGCTTCTTCCAGCTGACTACTAATACCAATATTCCCTTCTGAGAATTATGTCGTCATTGCCTCATTCTCTTTCCCTGCAGATCCTCATATGCGTCCCCGGGCCCTTTTCTATGTGGTCCGTCTCAGTGACCCTTTGGTCTCTACAAACCATGTGCATTTCCACTGTTCTGTGTTCACGATGTTTGTTCATCTCTTGCCTGGAAAGTTCTCTTTTTAACTACCCAACTCAAACCCTACCACTTCTGTGGCATTCTTGTCGGTTGTAACATACGCTAACATTCCCTTTTCAAATGACTCCACCTGGAGTTGGAAAAGACAGTTTAGTACTTAAGTATTTTACTTTTCATTTCTCATCTAAACTGCTAGTTGTCCATGTTTTGTAGTGTTTCCTTTGTTTTTCCTGTAGTTGGGAAGAAGGCTTTCAGTAACAAACACATTGCAAAGTAACTGCGTTCCATTTGTGCCTTCACCTCCGATCAGAAGTAGAGGATCTACTCTGTTTTAGGGCCCAGAATGCAGAAGTGTGAAGACTACGCTCCCTGATGTCAAGGCTCCCACCAACATTGAAATATGGTCTGGACAATGACATATCTCTGTCACAAATGGTACACGAAGAGCGGGGACCTAACCCACCCAGTGCCTGTGGTAAATATCCCAAGTGGACTTCCCATCTCTTTTTAACACGTTGTTTGGGAAAATGGTGTTTCCAGGACCACTGGGTTACCGTGGGATGTTATGCAGAAGTACACACTGTCTCCAATATTGTCACGGTCAGAGAAATGGCCCGCGGACCCAAAATAACGTAGCGTCGCCGCCCTCATTAACCCGCACAGTCCCTGCAAGCGCCTAATGCTCCACGTCCTCCGACGTCTGCACGGGCAGCGGTGGTGACAGAAGCTGACACCGGACGACCTGCCCTCGAGGGAGGCGTGGTCGCCGCCCCACCCTCTTCCGGATCGCTCCGCCCCTTCCGGCACACTCTGCCGGGTGACGTCATCGCCGTCGCGCCGTCGCCACCCCGCCCAGCTCCCGGCTTCCGTACCCCCTACGCCCCTGTCGACCCTCGCCCGCCGCCGCCGCTGCCAGAATGTGAGTGACGCGACGCTGTGCTTGGCGGGACGGTCCGGGCTAGGAGATGGCGGCCCGCGGCTGGCACCCTGCCCGGCCAGATTCCGGCCGGCCATCGCTCGGATGCGGGCCCGCGCTGGGGCTCCGCGGCTTGGGGGGTAGGCGGCGTCCCCGAGGGTGCTGGCCGCAGACAAGCTGGGCCGGCCCCGCGGCCCCGCCAACCTCCCGGAAGGGCTCCGCTGCTGTCCGGCGGCCGCCGAAGGGGCGAGGCCGGGGCGGCCGGGGGCTTTCCGGAGCTAGAGAGCGCTCCCCACCCAGTCCCCGTCCCTTCTCTTTCCCCAAACGGTCTCCGAGAGTAGCGGGCCCCGGTGTTGGGCTGGGCTCCGGAAGTTGCAAGGGAAAGGACCTGGGCCCTGTATTGAGGTACCTAAGGTCAGCGTGGACTCGGAAATGAGCTGTGGCTTTCTCCCATTTTATACTACGCACTCTTGTAGTGGCCCTTGGAAACGTGGAGTTTCCAGTGTGACATGCAGAGAATGCTGTCAAGAATAACAAGGACCCTGTGTGCCCCCTTCAGCCTGCTCATTGCTCGCCTGCAGAGGAGAAAGGAATGGGTGTTTTCCGTGGGTTCCTTATAGGAACTAAGGACAGCATTCTGGGGTGTTAGTGCTAAGGCCGCTGTGCCAGTAGATCACACTGGTTAAGATCTTGATACGTGGAATTATACCAGACCTGGTCTAAACGAAGACTCCACTGCCGCCAGTCGTGTTGATTTTCTAAACCTCTACTCATCTATGAAATGGGGTTAATAGTACTAACTCCGTTAGTGAGTTACGAGGATTAAGTGAAAAAACATTTGGAGAAAAGGTACCAGTAGGTGTGACCCTTTGCTGTTATCTGTCAGACAATAAACTGTGAGGGCAGGAATGGGATCCATGTATCTTGGATCTCTGACACACGGTGGTATAAAATAACTTGAGTCAATGAATCAGCGTGGCTGTTGTGTCTAAGACACACGCTAGTTGCTGTCTTAGACCTCTAAGACCCGGTAGTCTGAGCTGTTAGAGAAGTTATATCTGAAAATTGAAGCGTTTCCAACCAAAAATGGAACCAATAAGGACTTCCAAGCCAGAATGATCAAAAAAGATATGCCTGGGGAGAAATATAGCATTCAGTGGGTATTTTAAAAGTACAGTGCCTTTTAAAAGAGGGAGCACTGCTTCTGCTTACCCTGCTCACTCACACCCCTCAGCACCCTGCATCTTGGTGTTCCTGACCCTGTTTCTGTAAATGAATCTACTTCCCCATAGTGGAAAAAGGACATTCTATAATTGTTCATAACTATGAAAACAGTTCTTGCCACAGTGAAAAGATCAGGATAGCACTGAGTGCATTTATGTAGTGCATGCCTTTTAGAACAAATAATTTTAGAAATCAGGAAGTAGAGTTTACCTTTCTTAGCATCAGGTGCTTCAGAGATACAAAGTAGGTCCTATTAAACCTTCACTTCAGATCCCTGTCACTTTTCACATGTGGGTGAATCTTGGGAATTAGAGGAACTGGAGGAAATGTCATTAGAACCTTTGTTCATTACCATAGGAAGGATTTCTCTTTTTTGCTTTAGTTATGAGATTTCTAACACTCAGGGTCCTGGAATAACATCTTCACACTTGCAGAAATGTATCTGGAATCACCGTTGACTCATACTCCTTCCCGCGTTTCAGGTCTGCAGGTGCACCTGCGACTTCAAGTGCTGCCTCTGGCAGCAATCGAAGACTTCAGCAGACACAAAATCAAGTGGATGAGGTATTGCTTTGAAATGTTGAAAACATGAATTTTAAACCAACATGGGAACACTCTGGAAATAATTCTGTTCAGAGAAAGTATCACAAAAGTGTGAATATAAATGTTGGTTGTATCACAAATGTAACAAAAATTTGTCCCCTGCTATTCTCAAAACCCTGATATAATCTTCTGAGAAGTCAGATTCTCTGGTTTCATGCTTGTTTTCCTGTAACTGAATTACATGCCTAAAACACAAAACACTCTTTCCTAAGAGCATTCCTCCAAGAACCACTTAAAATGTATATTTTGCTACAACAATAACCCATTTGAAAAGAAAAAGGAACCACTTTATAAAAGAAGGTAAAGAATCTTGAGTATTAGTTCCTCAAGCCAAGACCAATCCTTCTGACCAGGTGTTTCATCAAAATGCTTTTTCTAGTTACCCAGCCTGAACAAGCCTCTGTATAATTCAACTAATTCTGTTCTAATTTTATTCTGCATGAAACTTTTGTTTGTTTATGAAATCAAATGGGGACTTTTTCTTAACCAAAAGAGTTTTAAAGACAGTTTTGTTTTTTTGTTAACAGATAAAACTTACATAACATACAGTTAGCCATTTTGAAGTGTACAGTTCAGTGGTGTTTGGTGTATTCATAATGTACAACCATTACCTGTCTAATTTTACAATTTTTTCATCATCCCGGAAGAACACTCTGTACACATTTAATGGTCCGTCCCCATTCCCCCTTTCTCCCATTCCCTGGTAATCTGTAATTGTCTTCTATGGATTTGCCGGTTCCGGACGTATCAAGTAAAGGGGGTCATCCACTGTGTGACCTTTGTGTCTGGCTTCTTTCACTTAGCATCATGTTTTTGATGTTCATCCAAGTCGGAGCCTGTGTCAGTATCTTGTCCCTTGTTATGGCTGAGAGTGTTCCATATGTGTCTACATAATTTGTTATCCGTTCATCTCGTTGGATTTTTGAGTTTCCACCTTTTGGCTATGATTATTGCTGCTATAAACATTCATGTACAAATATCTGTGTGGACATAGGTTTTTATTTCTCCTGGGTATACACATAGGAGTAGAATTGGTGGATTATATGGTAGTTCAATGATTAACTTTTTAAGGAACCACCACACTTCTGCACAGTGCCCGCACCATTTTACATTCTCACCAGCAATGTCCAAAGGTTTCTGTTTCTCCACATCGTCACCAGTACTTGTTATTTTCTATTTTTTGGCTATAGCCATCCTAGTGAGTATGAAGTAGTATCTCATTGTGGTTTGGTTTGCATCTCCTTAATGACCAATGATGTTGAATATCTTTTTATGTGCTTGTTGGCAATTTTTATGTATTCTCTGTAGAAATGTCTATTCCAAGTTATTACCCATTCTTAATTGGGTAGTTTCTTTTGTTGAATGGTAAGAGTTCTTTATATATTCTGTATATTAAACCTTGTTCAGATGTATGCCTTGCAAACATTTTCTTCCATACTGTAGATTGTCTTCATATCCTTGATAATGTCTTTATAAAGTCCAATTTATTTTTTTCTTTTCTTGCTCTTTGGTGTCAAATCCATGAATAAATCCAAAGTTATTAAGATTTGACTCTTATACTTTCTTCTAAGAGTTGTATAGCTTTAGCTCTTATACTTAGGTCATTTGATCCATTTTGAATTAACTTTTGTATATGCGATGAGATAGAGGTCCAAATTGATTCTTTTGCATATGACTATGTCATTTTCCCAGTACCATTTGTTGAAAGAGTGTTCTTTGTTCTATTGAATAATCTTGGCAGCTTGTCGAAAATCAGTTGGCCATAGGTGTTTGGGTTGATTTCTGGACTCAGTTCTGTTCCATTGGTCTCTTATTTTTTTATGCCAGAATCATACTATTTTGATTACTGTAGCTTTGTAGTAAGTTTTGAAATTGGAAAGTGTGAGTCCTCTAACTTTGTTTTTCTTTTTCAATATTGTTTTAGCTATTAAGGGCCCCTTGCAGTTCCATATGAATGTGAGGATTGGCTTTTCCATTTTGCAGGGGACAGTAGGAAAAATGGCCATTAGAATTTTGATATTGTGTTGAATCTGCACATCACTTTGGGGAGTGTTGACATATAACAATATGTATGAAGTGTTCCAGTCTATGGACTTGGGATGCCTCCACATCTAATTAGGTCTTGAATTTCTTTGAGCGGTGTTTTTAGTTTTCAGTGGGCAAGTCTTTACCTCCTTGGTTCAGTTTATCCCTAAGTATTTTATTTTGGATGCTACTACTATATATGGAATTGTTTTCTTAATTTTCTTTTCATTACCAGCATATGGTTCACAGATTTTGATCTTATACCCTGAACTTTCCTGAATTTGTTTAACAACTCTAGTAGGGTTTTTTGGTGTGTGGATTCTTTGGGATTTTATTATATCTGGAACTTGTTGTAAATAGAAAACATTTTACTTCTTCCTTTCCATTTTAGAAGTCTTACTTCTTTTTCTTGCCTAATTGCTCTGGCCAGAACTTCTGGCACAGTGTTGAATGGCAGTAGTGAAAGTGGGGTACCCTTATTCTGTCCTAAAGTTAGGGAGAAAGCTTCCTGCCTCGCACCTTGAGCATGGATGTTGTTTTTCCATAAGTGTCCTTTATCATTTTAAGGAAGTTCCCTTCTGTTCTTAGTTTGCTCAGTGTTTTTATCATGAAAGGGTGAGCCTCCCACAAATGAAAATTTGTCATAAAGTTGGCTCAAATAAAGTACTGACCTGAACAAAATGTGCCACTGAATTATTGAGAATTTTTGTCCTTCTATTTCGTTATACGCGACTTGGTGTGATCGTATTCAGGTGGTGGACATCATGAGAGTCAATGTGGATAAGGTGCTGGAAAGAGATCAGAAGCTCTCTGAGTTAGATGACCGTGCAGATGCCCTGCAGGCAGGAGCTTCCCAATTTGAAACGAGTACTGCCAAGTTGAAGAGAAAATACTGGTGGAAAAATTGCAAGGTAATTCTCTTTTAACTGGTCTTTAAGTCACCCTTTGTTATTCTCAGGGGGTTAACAAAAGCTATAAATAATGCTGGACTTTCATGAATCTCGGAGGTGAATTTGACTTGCCACACATGGAAATTTGGATTGACTTTGAATCTAAACCACTGCCTGCATCCCCTTTTCTCCCCACAACTAGGAATTCTCCATGTTCTGTGGCTGAAGAATAGGAGTGTCCAAAATCAATCACAAATATAAGCCCCTTCTAACCTCCACTCCACAGAGCCCTGAACACAGATTGATGGGAGAGGGCTGGAGTCGTGGTCAGTTTGCGTGTGGTTTTGTGAATGGCTTCCGTGTCGACCAGGAGAGCTGCTCGAAAGCCACAGTGTGCTCCACAGCAGAGCAGAAAGCAGCTGCACAAGAAATGGGGCCCACAGCCTATTCTGTACAGCTCCCATGTCCCAAATGCATCCTGCCCCCTTCCTGGTGTAGAAGGGACACTATCCCATTCACAGGACAAACTTAGAGGTCCTTCCTTATGTGGAAAACTTATATGGCACCACAAATCATTTGAATATCTTACAAAAAGCAGATAAGTAACCTTCAGGCCCTAATTGAGAACATGAAATTTCAGGCTTTAAAAATTACTTCAGATTGTAGCGCACCTTAATTTCTCTTTCAGTAACTAGAATGGTATTATATGATACTTGGGTACGCTCATGGATCTTAGAAATGTGAATGTCTGTTTCATTGCAGATGTGGGCGATAGGGATCGGTGTCGTCGTCCTCCTCATCATCATCATCGTGGGTGAGTCCTCAGCTCCCTGGGGAGGTTAAGTCCATTGTCTTCACAATTAATTTCATGTACAAGAACTCAGAATAAAAGTGCCCTCAAATGTTAGTTTATACCAAAGAGTTTTGTTTTCTTCAGTAAATCTTTTAAATACTTGAGTGTTACATGATTAAAATCTTAGATTCTTGAGATAAATATTGATCCTTTGAAGTTAAAGAAAATATATTCATTTCCACTGACTTATCAGGTTGCTCTCTGAATATTATCTTCTTCAGCTATTTCCCTTTATGAAAAATAGTATAGGCTAGTATACTATAGATTGCTATATTATACCAAGTATAGTATAGATTGGAAGTGTGGGCCACCTGTGATCTCCCCTAGCTCCACCACCACCGTCCAGCGCATGGCCTTCAGCAAGTCAGTTCATAGCTCTGAACTGCAGTTTCCTCATTTGTAAATTACTACCTACTTCATATGTTTGCTCTGAGGACAAAACTGGTTAATATATAAAAAGTGCTTAGGATGGTATCTGGCATATGATAATAGTTAATAAATATGTGTATATATAATATACATACATACAACTACTATTATTACTACTACTACTTCCCGTATATACGGTGTTGGAACAACTCATTGCTTTTCTTAGCCCAGTACATGGGAACTATTTAAAGAAACAATTCTTTTGTCCTTTCTTTTGACACTCTCCTCTAGCCCTCTACAAAATGTAGAGAAGCTATTAGGAAATTAGATGAATTTAATTTTTGTTCACGTTTAGACAGCAGCGCTAATGTTAGTTCTGGATTTGCACTGAAAGACTAACCCACTGTTTTGCATCTCATCTCCCCTGCTTATTAGTGTGGAGCATTTCTTCCTGAAGAATCAGTGAAATTCCAGCCTGCTGTTCAAGAAACCTCTTCAAGACTTTTGACTTAGAGCCTGCCATGTTGTTAAGCTTACCTTACTGTTGTATTCTAAAATGATTATTTTCTGTTAGTTGATGTAAAGTTTAATTTCTAGGAAATGTGCCTTTGTTTTTTAATATGCACTCCAAACTAGAAGTATAGTCAGCCCAGCCTACACTGTGCGCAGTGCCTTTACAAATTCACATATAGGCTGATAAGCTTCTTCAGTTCCAGAGTGTTACAGTCTAGAAGTAATGTTGTCTGATTAATTGCCATTAATTTCAGTCAAGGAAATTAGTTCCAAGTTACCAATTCTCATCGTATGTTATCTTTAGAACTGCATTTTAAACTTAGGGGTAATCAGATTTCCAATTTGTGCCTTCCAGAAAGAACACTACTGCCTAACGCAAATCGGTGACAATAACAGGCTGTGCCTTATTTTGCTGTTTTTCTAACTCCCTAACAGAGAGCCCTCTACTGTTTATAAGCACTACTGACTCTGGTTGTATTTAAAATAAAATGCTGGTAAGGAGTTTTCACTCTTACATTAGATATGAAGATGTTTACTTTCTTGTTATGTATCACTTGCTAAAAATATGCCTTTAATCAGAAATAATAACCTCTTTAAGATATTTTAATAGAACTATGGCTGTGACCAAAGGTTCTCTTTTGCCAAAAAGTTAAATGCCAGTAAAATGTCCTTAAGTCTGTTCCTGACAGATAAATTCAAAGAAGTGACAAGTGGGATTTAAGGTGCCCCTCAGAATTAAAACTGCAGTGTCGTGTGTGAACCATCTACATCCTGACGGGCCTCGCTTGCTTGCGTCTGACACACTGTAAGTGGTGGCGTGACTCCCGTTCAGTCTGTCGTTTTTCCCAGGGGTTAGAGGAGGTTTGAGCTAGACTCTGACCATCACATACCTAGAGACACAGCTTTATCCAGCAGTTTGCAGATCGTCAACTGTGGATCCAGTTGGTTTCTGTAATTATGTGAGCAACAATTTTGTAGCCTTCAAGTGAGACCATCTGCAGACTGGTCATTATATGACCCCACAGACAATACCTCGTTGGAGTGTTTCCTATTTTAATCCATATTCCACTTCCTAAATCTGTCTTCTAAGTTCTGCTTTCATTTCGGCATTGGTCAGTGGTGGATGACTTTTCAGAGGATTGTTAACCAGAGACTCTTTCTTTGATGTCATAGACTCTGCACAAGATGCTGCTTTGGAAATAGCTGTTGTCGTCTGAGAGACTGTTGTATATGTGAGACTTTCAGTATCAGGGTATGTGGTGTAAGGATGGGAATTCCGGTAGGCATGAAAACTGGCAAGAAGGCACTGAGGGAGAAACACAGTTTTACCACTCTGTGGCTCATTCTTACTGGCATATTCTAAAATTCTTGTTCACATGCTAGTATGAGACTTAACAGAGCAACAGCACTGAGGTGCACCAGGGCATGGGCTCCATTTCTTATCTGTTCCCGTGACATCACTGAAATGACACAGTGTTGGAAACACGCCGTGCAGTGTACCCAGCTGTGAGAAAACAACAGCCTTCAGCACCGGGACATCGGCCCACCTGGCTCAGGGTCTCTGGAGACCTTGGTGCTCTCTGCTGAGCCTTGATGCCCAGTCCCATGTAACCCACTGGCTCCTGCCCTAACCCAGGAATACCTCGCTTGTATCTGCATTTAGCTGGGAACTTGCCCACTATAATGAACGGAATAAACTGTTTATAAACGTAGTTCTGATACCTGTGTTGCTTATAGAAAAATAGCTGACCCTCGTCTCAGTCTTAGTGGTATTCCTTGCTGCTCCCCCTGCGTCTCCCTTATAAACCCCCAAACTCCACTTTGTCTTTTCCTTTCTCCCCGCCCCTCCCCAAGAGTTTCCTTTCCTAGAACCTAGCATTTCCCTGTACCCTAGTGAACAGAGGTAAACCATGCCCCTTGTGCAAAGTGACCGGGGAACTGGCTCACTCATGATTACCACAATGTTCAGGATTTGGCTTTTGAAAAGTTTCTTAAATACGTGGTCTTTCAAAAGTGACATGCAGAGCTGGCCCCGCATGTGGTGGGCTAGACAGCTGCCTGCATGAGGCCTGGGGAAGGGAATTTGGGCGGATGAGGGACAGCTCCGAATGCATGGCTTTTGTTTTGATTGTGTGTATCTTCCCCTGGAATACATTCCCACTCATATTCTACAAGCCCTAGGAAACAATATACTATGGATAGAAGTATACTTTTGCTCATGTTTACACTAAAATGCCAATTTTCTGTAAAATCCTATTGGGAGAGAAGAGGTTGGCTTTTTTCTATTGTCTTGGATAGATGGTTGCTGCTTTCTTGTCTGATATAGTATTGTATCCTTGAAAACCACTAACTAGAACTGTGCCTTTTGTTCAGGATCTTTATATAAAGAAAACTATATGATCTTTTGGTGCCATTTCCAAGATACTGAAGGAAAATGTGCCATAAGTGGGCTCCCCTTTCTCTGCTTCTCCTTTAAATGTCAGGGTTCCTTAGGTCTGGATTCTCAGCCGACTTCTCTTTCCATTCTGCTTACTCTCCCTGGGCAATCTGATCTAGTTTCATGATATCTCTATTCCTCAATCTGATGATTCCCAGCCTGTTATTAAACATAGGCCTCTCAAATTCAATGTGCACCAAACAGAATTAAGCATTCCCCTGCCTCATGTTACTCTTCCTGTCATTAATAGTGTCTGCTCCAGAGAATGGCACCATCATTCACGCAGTTTCCTTGCCGGACAAGTCCACTGGACTTGCCAGTATTTTTGGTCCCCATGCGTATCACTTGGGATATGCTGAAGGTGTGCTAAGGATCAACATCCCCGACATCTCAACACCTTGAAGTTGTTTTCCTCATTCATGCCACACGTCTAATATAGTCAGCAGGAAGCCTCTATCACCAGTCGCTCAGGGAGGGACTTCCTGTAAAAGTTTGTTTCAGGTCATCACTGCAGCAGGAAGGGAACTTCACGAATTGTGCACTGGCTCCCAAAGCTGCTGCCTGCAAGTGGAGCCAGCGGCTCTGCTCGCCTTTCACTGGCTAGAGCAAGTCACGTGACCGTGCCAAACCTCAGAGGTGGCATGGAAGGCGATCTTACCTGTCACCCAAAGGAGAAATGGAATGTTTGTGAACTTTTGCCTTCATGAAAGCAACTTCAAAGAATGCAGACAAACTCCTTCTGTCTTGTACTTTCTAATGAGCTGTGCCTCCTACATGATAATTCTATATTTGCATCACTAATAAAATGTTTTTCTAAAGTATGGTGATTTTTAAAATTGTTTTGAGTGGGGACTGTTTCCTTTAAAATTGGCCAAACTGCCTCGTGCATTTAAAAGTAAGCATCCTTATTTACAACTGAGCTGGTTTTCATAGTTGCAGAAAACTCAATCTGTAAAACTAGAAGTTACTTAAGTAAAGCAATTATGTCCTAATTATTAGAAAATAATTGTTTTTCCTCACCCTTTATAGAGCGAGCTAAGTGCCTCTAAAAATCTCCTACATGTCTTTATACTACCAAACCACAGAAAAGCCTTATAGAAGTGCCTACTTCAGGCCAAGGCTCTGGATCCCAGTCTAATGAAGGATGCCTCTCCATCAGTTCCTCTCATCTGCAGCTCTTCCTGCATCATTCATTTCTCCCCCCTTAATAGATCAAAACCCACAGACCTTAGCAAGGATCTCCACAGCCCTCCTTTTGGAAAACACCTGTCTCCAGCCCAGCATAGCGAAACCCTCCAGCTCCCTGCAGGCACTGCCCTAACGGTCCACCTTTTCTTCAGTTCACACACCGCTGACACACCTTTACCCAAGATCGCCAGCTTGGCGAGGCCCAACAGGGAATTCACCGCCCTTGTCTTACTCTGCTTATTACCGGCATTCGATAGTTTTGTTGCCAGCTCTCCTGAAATCCTTCATTATTTAGCTTCTGTGACCCCCCCACACGGTTTTCTTTCAACCTCCTGTCATTCTTTGCCTGGCTTTCTGCTCAATCTCCAAATCTCCCTGTGCCCCACATAGTGGCCTTGGGCTGTGTTCTGTCTGCAGTCTGAATCCCACATCACTGTAAACTCCATGTAGACTGACGACTCTCGGATGTAAGCTGTGTCTCTATCCCTGGCTTCTCCTCCTAAATTCCAGGCTGGAAAATCCAATTGTCTACCGGACAATTACACTTGGATGTGTAATGCACATCTCAGACATAACATACGGAAAACAACTCTCAATTCTCCCTTCATCAAAACTCACCACCCCTGAATTTGTGCACCTAAGCTGATGTCGCATCACACACAGCACAGCTTACGCCCAAGACCCAGGAGTTGATGGCGCTCTTGTATTCACAACATACATTCAACTTAACAGCAAGGCCCTGGGAGCCCCATGTCCAACCTCTCTCACCATCTCTACTGACGCCCAGTAAAGGCTATCCTAAGCCCTCTCCTTGAAAAGAATAACCTCCTGTTAGCTCTTTCCTGTGCAGCAGTCTGCATATCACAACACTGTCTTGCTTAAAATCCTCTACCCACTACCATCAGAAAAATCGAAACGCTTTCCTGAATTGTAAAGCCTGCCGCCATCTGGTGCTTCCTGAGTTCTGGACCACGTGTCAGACCGTCTTCCTCTTACACAATCTTTCTGTTTCTCAACTACAAACTCGCTCTGCCTCAGGGTCTCTGCAGGTGCCCTTCTCTCAATTGGGTCCATTTCCCCTTCTCAGAGAGGCAGTCCCTGATCACCTGGCTAATATGTCTCCTGCCTCCTCACCCTCCACCCGTGTCCCATGTACATCTCATCCCGTTAGCTTGTTTCAGTTAGTCTACACTGCACTTCCCACTTTCTGAACTTCACGGACTTGCACATGTTTTATATCTTAATAAAGTGCAGGCTCCCTGAGTTAAGGGATTTTGGCCACCACTGTATGCAGAGACCACAATCATCCCTACCCAGATACGTAATAAATATTTGTTAAACAAATGCAGTTTGATAAAATGGAACTTCAGAGGAGAGTAACATCGGTCATTATTCGTTAAAACAAGGTGGTTTATGTAATTGTAGATTAATGATACCAAAAAAAATAAGGTGGCTTAATACACAATATTAACAATTGCCATACTTCACTCGCACCCCCTTTTATATACCATCCCTTTCATTCAGCCAAAAAAATAACTGCAGATTTTTGATGTACCAGGAACTAGAGACGGCCAGAGCTCTGCACTGTACCTTTCGTTCGGATGACTTGATACATAACCTAAAAAGAGCCTTCACACACAGGGCTCCTCTAGGCCTTTTCCTGAAAGTGTCTTTTACAAAAACTTGTCTTCTTCCAGTTGCCAAATGAATCTGTAACTTTTCAAGACCAGAGAAATGTTTAAGGCTTTCAAAACTTTGTTTCTGAAAATCGAGTTTGATTTTCCCCAGAGCTGCTCTGGGGCCCGGTTCCTCCAAGTAGAGTCGGCCGGAGGGAAAGCGAAAAGGTCGAGAAAGATGTAAACAACAGAACTCGCAGAAGACTCGGAGATACCGCTCGGACGTCACCGCCTTCCTCCGGCTGCCCGGGGAAGTCCCGCCCGCCAATCCCGGGCTCTCCCCTGACCCCCCGCGGGCAGCCGGGGACACCGAGGCGCCCCCGCCCGGCCGCCTCTCACGTGGAGGCCGCGCCGGCCCCGCCCACCTCTTCTACCCGGTTCCTGCCCCTTCGTGACTGACGGCTCGAGCGTCCTATCACTGCCACGCTGCCTCCGGAGGCCCCAGCGACCTAACCCGTTGCGGGTTTAAGGGGGCGGGAACTTGACTCGTGCCGGGACTCGATCCTCCGCAGGGTCCCTCCGCCCACTGCCCGCGCGCCAGCCTGCTGGGATTGGCCGAGCGCCGCCCCCCGTCCGACCTCGGCATTATGTAACTTGCTCTAGGTTTGCCTCCGCCGCTCACCCGCCTTCGGTTATGTAATCCGGGAGCCCCAGCGTGGGGTCCGCCCCTAGACCAATGGGAGCACGCTGAGCGGGTCGCGGTGGCCAATCGCAGCGCCCGGGGGCGGGGACGCATCACGTGGAGCGCGGGGGCGCGGCGCCGGCAACCGCCCGGCACGCGGCGGGCCTCGGGACTGCGCGCGGGTCCCGGCCCGGCCCGGCAGGGCGAGCGGCTTCGCGCGGGGCCTGCGGGCGGCAGGGGCGAAGGCGGCGGCGGCGGCGGCGGCGGGTGAGTTCTCGGCTGGTGCGGGGAAGCTCGGAGCTTGCGGCCGCGTGGCTGAGGTCGCCCGCCGCCTGCCCTCCGCTCTGGGGCTGGCAGCCGGGCGGCGCCGGCAGGGAATCTGAAGCCCCCGGAACTTTGTGCTTTAAGTTGCCCCCATTCCCGGTCCCATTTGGGGTGCACGCCGACTTTGCCGAACGGCCGGTGGGCAGTGGTAGATCCGCGTCGGGCTTTGTGTCCGCGGGAGCTGACGGGCCTCCCTGGGGCTGCCCGCAGTTGACCCAGCCCGGTGTCCGGCTTCGGATTGTCCGTCTCACCGGACACTTGCTCCCTTTGTCTCCCGACCCCCAGGCTGGACCCCCAGTGTGGAGCGACATCAAGGATTGTTGGGAAATACTGAGAGAAAAGTGCCTCCGCAGGGGCGGAGATCAGTGACTGCCCTGTTGCGATGACCGATACATTTTGTCTAATGCAATGGCGCGGACCAAAATGAGAAATTTCTGTCGCTGATTGCAAAATAAAAAAGAGGCAGGCAGCAGACCGAGGGCTGCGGGGCGAAAGATGGACCCCTGTGAGGATCTAGAAATGTCCAGCGGTGAGGCTCGGGACTCTAGGGGGAACGGGCTTAACGAACTCGGAGGACCACCGGCCGGCGGGTCGGCGGCCCTGGGGGAAGAGTCGGCCGGGACGTGGAGCCAGAAATACCGATTGCAGAGCAAATACGAGGAGAGCAGCAACAGGTGACACAGCTTCATTTCGTTGTTTTTCGTTGGGGTAGTGAAAGGCAAAGGAGGGTTTAAATCTTTTTATTCTTTTGTTTGTAAGCCTAGGAGAAAATTGAGGGGGAGACTCAGATAGCTTAGCGTGAAATGCCCTGGGAAACTGAAGAAAATTCCCAAAAACTACGAGAAATAGGTAAAAAGTGGTTAAGGAATTTGGCCGAGTTGGGTCTGAAGTGGGAAAGAGCGAGGAGAAAATGTTTGCCATTCACCAGGTTTGTTTGGCTGGGATTCCACACCTGTTAAAAAAAAGGGGGGTGGGGGGAAGGGCGGGGATGATAAACCTGTGGACTAAATAAGTGGATCCATGTTAATTGCTTGGCCCATAATATACCGTTCGCCAAAAGTTGTCTGCTGTTGTCATTGAAAATGTGAATTTATAATTTCCTATTTTACAGTGAACAGCAAGATCGAAACAGAGTTTCTGAAGAACTGATAATGGTTGTGCAAGAAATGAAAAAATACTTCCCCTCGGAGAGACAGAATAAACCAAGCACTCTAGATGCCCTCAACTACGCACTTCGCTGTGTGCACAGTGTACAAGGTAAATGAGCTGCAGAAGAGAAACAGTCGTGGGAGAACACCCTTGCTTATAAATATCATCCGGCCAGAGGAGTTTGTCAGTGTGGTTTTAGTCACAGAGATGTTTTGTGCTAAGGGTGCTAGGTGTAAGGTGAGCAGATGTACACTGATCCCATTAGTGTCTTGATTTTTTCACATTAGGAACATGAGGAGAACTTTATTTGTGTAGTACTTTGGTACTATGCAATATTTCTCTAATTTGCCATAGAGTAGATGTAGCATAAGCACCTTTTAAAGCCACACCTACTAAAAGCAGCATTTTCTTCTTCAGATATTGGAGGGAAAATACATTTGACTAAGTACAATTTACCTTTCCCTGTCATACACACAATTTTATAATATCATATAATATATCAGGAATTTACCAAATTAAAAATGAACAATTGTAAATATTTTTTCCTTTTTATCTCTGAGTTTCCGTCTCAAAAGATTTCATAAAATAATTTCACATTCTGTCCACATATCATTCATATATGATATGTAATTCTTGAATGCTACAGAGAGTCATTTTTTTGCCATAGAAATTTCACGTGCATGTATTTGGAAGCTTTGATTTTAGTACCCTAAATGTAGCTTGCTCTTTGTGATCTAGAACATGCAGAATTCATAAAATTCAAAATCTTAAAGTTTGTACAACTATTAGTATTTCAGCCAAAAGGTGGAAATGATCTGGTATTTGGGGAAAAAACACTGAGGTGTCCTCATCCTAATAAATAAGCCAGCTTTAATAGTGATAAAAATAATTTCCTAAAGATATTGGTGTTACTGGACTACCTATTTATTTTACTGTGTTTCTTAGCCAACAGTGAGTTTTTCCAGATTCTCAGTCAGAATGGAGCATGTCGAGCAGATGTGACCATGTGCAGTCTCGAGGAGCTGGCCACGATTGCTTCAGAACACACTTCCAAAAACACGGTAAGAATTTTTGAATTTTGCCATATCAAACTGGGCAATTTCTCCTAACAGCCTATTTTTAAATAAATTTTTAAAAATAATAGCTTAGAATTTTGGTAACCACAATTTGAGGTGAAGAGAACTGCAAAGAGGCAGTGTGTAGTTTCTCCTGCCCTTGCCAGAGAAAGGATCTGCAAACAGGAAACAGCACGTAAACAGGAGTTTGCTTTGCTTTGGTTATGAGGTGCCTGTGTCTCCTTAGCATCCCTGAGTTCTCCCAAATGAAGAGAAAAAAAACAAACTGCAGTATAACTTCCCTCATTTTATTCTAATCTCCGAATTGTTCATTTCTATTTATATCATTCTTAGTTTCCATACCTACTACTTCAAGTTGTAACAACTGGATTTTATAGAACAGGTGAGTTGAGATGCTGTCATTTTTGTAAAATTTTGGAAGAGACATTTAGCACACATCTTTTGAAGCTCTTCATGTTGACAAAATAGTTTTGCCTCATGTTTTGCTGATATGGAGATTACTTACTTTTATGCTTAGACCTCAACATAAATGTAACTTAAAGATTTTATACTATTGGAACATGAGCTGTCCCTGATAATGCAATATTATTTTACTAAAGGGTGTGTTCAGAGTACTGTAGTAGGTGCTGTGGAGATTTAAGGAAGAAAATGTTTAAGAAAACATTTCTCCTTTAAGATCATCAAAACAAAGCCAGAGAGGGAAAGCAAATGCCAATGCTAAGCACACAAGCAGCAGCAGATTGTAACGAAGTCATGCTTACGTCTAGTGGAACAAATTAGAGAAGTGACTCTTACATGATGAGATTTGTCAGAGACAGTGTCTTGAAGGTGATGAATCTTGAGCTTGGTCTTGAAGCTTAGAATATGCACTGCTGAAGAAAAGACTGTCCCTCCGGGAGGGAGCACAGTCTGCAAAGGGGAAGGAATCAGAAGTGTATCCATATGCGTGTTTAGACGGTGCAGAATGAGCTGGTATTTTTTTGTATAAAATCAAACCATCAGAAGGTAAATGCAGCTTTTATTATGATAATTAAGAAGTATGTTGGAGAGTTTTGTTGCCTTAGTGGAATGTGTGTGTGTGTGTGTGTGTGTGTGTGTGTGTGTGTGTGTGTTAAGCTTTGATCATGGCAGAAGTCTAGAACCTTACAGAGAATGTTTCCAGTAAGTATCTCAATATTTGCATTTATTTTAAATGTTTTTCATAGGATACCTTTGTGGCAGTTTTTTCATTTCTGTCTGGAAGGTTAGTGCACATTTCTGAACAGGCTACTTCGATCCTGAATTGTAAGAAAGATTTCTTGGAGTCCTCTCATTTTGTTGAACTGCTTGCCCCTCAAGATGTGAGGGTGTTCTACACACACACTGCCCATGCTCAGCTTCCCTTCTGGAACAACTGGACCCAAAGAGGTAACGGGACCAACATTTAGTTATCTGTCTTGCCTCCATAAAGATCAGTTTCCTTCTTCCAGAAATTGCACAGAAATTAATGCATTGTTTGGAACTGCAAACTATGTGGTTTTTCTTGTTTGTTTAAATAGTCAGAATATAATGAAAACAACATTTTACATTCTTTTAATAACAAAGACCCAATAATTTTGCTTTCGCTTAGTCAAGTTAATTTCATAGATTATATATCACCAAAATGGTTTGATTACCAGCATAATACATAGCAGGTCATTTGTTATAAAGCTCTGTTTCCTTTAAGTTAATAAGATTAAATGTTTTTCCTCTTATATTGACTTCATTATTTATCTGCTTTGGAGATAAATGTTAGGTGCCCTCTTCCAGTTCTGCTTGTTCCTAAATTCATGAATATTGTTACTTTGTTCTTTTTTTTTGAAATGTTTATTTTCCTGAACTTGGGATGACTAGTCACAGTTTTCTTTGTGATATTCAGTGCTGTGTGATCTTTAAATAATTCGGTTTCTTTTTTAAGTCACCCTATATTATTTCATATTTTTGTGAAGCACCTCTTAGAGAGCTTAGTGTATACCAACCTTGTTTTTGATTCCAAGTCTTTTTCTCTAACTTAAAATTTTTTAACTTTTTTTTATTGTAAAAAACACATTTAACAAAATTTACCCATCTTAACCATTTTTAAATGTACAGGTCAGCAGTATTGGTTACATTCACAATGTCATGGAACAACTCTCCAGAACTTTTTCCTCTTGCAAATCTAAAGCTTTGTATTCACTCTAATGTTTCAGTCAGTACTTGGTCCAGTAAAAAATCCCATCTTGCCTGCTGCTGCTTGCAGTGACAGACTTTTGCCGCATCCTTCGCGCACATTTTCTATGAGCTTAGTCGATAGTATACCTGTCATCTTGTTTTCTTGTGTTCCTTCTCCAATTCCTATCATTCAAAAACACTGATTTCGTTTCTCTTCATCTTTCCTAAACACACATTTTCACCCTCTAATTGTCCATATTTCCATCTCTTCTTTTGTTAATCATTTATACATTCCCTAAACGTTTAATTCAACAATGACTGTGGGTCAGGAACTGATCTTGATGCTGAGGTATAGCTGTGAACAGAAAAGACAGATGATATTGTTGGCAAGTTCTTTCACAGTTTTCCCAGGTATTTTTCTTTCAACATTGCCTGTATTCTCTCTGCCTTAGCTTTTCAAGCTTTTTATCTTTGCTGATCATTTATTGCTCTATTTCCCCTCCATGTGAAAGCATAATACACACTGAAATTGTAGTCTTATGGACCTAAACATTTACTTATTCCATAAAGATGAGACGTCCACCGTTTACTCCCCATGTCATACTTCTGCCTTGTTCATCTCAAGGGCTCAGACTCTTCTTGAGAGCAGTTGTTCCGCTCCACACCATTTCTGGGCTGTGCCTGTGCTGTCTCTCCTGTTGCTTTCTTTGAGCTTATAGAACATAAAGAGGACATAGGATCTTTGAACTCAGCAGTTGTGAGCTTATGGCCCCTCATTAGACCATGTTTCAGCTTGTATTTCTTGTACAGTCTTCACGGAAGGATCTTACCACTATTTCTTTAGAATACACTTCCAAAAACAAGAATTCACACATTATAGCCTAGGTGTGGAAGTGGTAGTGGACTTGCATCTACTGTTTGAGATCACACAGTCCGGCTCTGTTTTACGAGACTCCTAGTGAATGCAGTTGGACTCAGGTGCCTGAGATAAAAACGGTGTAAACAAGTTTACCTTACAGGAGAGTTGTATTTGTGTGCAAAGAATTATAAGCTAGGAATCTTAAAGTCTGAGTTTTAAATTGAATTCTTTCCCTTCATGAGCCTTGGCAGCCACTTAGCTTCTCGTTGTAAAGTGAGAATAGCCTGCTCAGCCGGGCTGCTCTGCAGATCAGGGGTGGGTGGGAAAGTACTGTGAGGTTTCTGGAGCCTTCTGTAGCATAAGGGGTCTTCACTGCTGTCATCTGTTAAACAGTTAATATTTAAAGGACTATCAGTGTTTAGCAGATTAATCTTCACAAACCCTGATGAGGTGTAGATACTCTCATTGTCCCCAGTTGACAGATAAGGTAAATGTGTTGTTTGGGTTGATGCTGAGAAGCAAATGCCAAGATGGGATTAGCTGCATAAGAGACTTACTGGGAAAGGGAGGAGCAGAAGCTGAGTGGAGCCCTGGGCCCACAGGGCAGGTCTGGTGGCTGGGAAGGAGGGTTGGGGAGGAGTGTCCTGGTCTGCAGGGCAGCTCTGAACAGCTCGGTCAGGCAGCCAAAGGCAAGTCCCAGCTGCAGTCACACACTGGAGGAGTCCCGCATCTCCACGGAAGGGCCCTGCTCGGTGCCCTCTCTGCACAGGCACTGGCAGCCTGCAGGATATGGGGCTCAAGGCAGCAGCTGCAGCCTGCTGTCAGTTATGTCCCCTGGACCTGGGGCCATGCCCTTTCTTAGCCACTGGTCACTGAGGCACAGAGCTAAGTAACTCAGCCAAGGTCACATGGCCAGTAAGTGTAGAAGTGGATTTCACCTGGGCAGGGTGAATGCAGAGCCCCTGCTCTGAACCACAGAGTGCCTGTGGCTGTAGCTTTAATAATCACACAAAGGCGTGCGTGCGAAAGTGGCCCCAAGGTATGGGACCTGTCCATAAAAACCATCTCAAAACATTAAGGATATTGTTAGCAACCTTGTCTTGCCTCAGTTCCTCTGTAAGTTTATCTAGGACTTTACGGAAGCAGTTTCTGTGTTAAGACTGTAGTATATCTTAGAGTCATTAATTCCTTAAACTTAATTTATCAGATGGTTCTGTCATTTAAGTTTTCACAGACATGCTATAGGACCTATCTTCTGGTTTCAGAATTCTGGGGTTATAACTTTCAATGGCTTGATGAATTATGATAATTTGATCATTGGTCCCTTTACTCTTAAACCGGAGTGTTTCTTTTTTAATCACATACATGTTGCTTGGTCATTCAAAAGCCTATTTTCTGATTCTTCAGTTGATGCTTTCCTTAAAAATACTCAGTATTTTGTTTTTCTTGAACTCTCATTATTTTCCTTCAATGTATATTTTTGAACATCTCCTTGGTTTTAAAAATTCCCTTTGTTCCCACAACTGAGTACATTGCACTCCAGTGAATAAATGCCCCAAGGAAAAAGTCAGGGGGCCTCTAACCAGAGGAAATACAGTCAACAAACACTTAGGAAATGGCTCAGCCCCTAATTTGCCCTAAGATAGGCAAATTTAAACATTCCTGAACTACCAACTCATAAATCGATAAAATCAATAGAAAAATCAATAAAATTGATGTATACTATTAGCTTGAGGATTCTGTGGAAGTGTTTTTAATGGCACTGTTGGTGGTACAGCCTTCTGGAGATTAGTTTGCCAATACATGGTGAGAATCGTAAATGATCATATTTTACCTAAGAACATGACTTTGGAGAATTTATCCAAGGCAATAAAAAAAGTAAAGTTTATATATCATAAACCTAGGCTGTTAAGTTGTCCAAATTCCCCATTTTTGACACATATCCAGACTATTGCAGTGGAATAGAATATTACCACCAAAAAAGTAAGTCAGAGGATCATTACCGTGACACTGAAGGGCTGAGTATGGGCAGTTGCAGAAAAGCAGAAAGGATTCGAGGAAGTAGTACCGGGAGAGCCTGCGTCGGCTGCTCCCCCGTCTCACCTGCAGGGTGCTGGCAGCCGGAGCCTGGGGAGGCCCTGCGTGGGGCTGGGTCTCAGAGGGAGGGGCAGAGGCCTCTTTTAATTGAAAGTCTCTCTCTCTCTTACAAAATGGTTTGTTGTTCAGTGGCAGTGGGACAGTGTCTCCCTGGGAAGAGCCGCTCCGCAGGGTTTCTGCAGGACGGGTGACTGACAGTTTGTCTCTGTTCCCAGCAGCGTCGCAGTATGATTACGCCCCAGTGAAGTCCTTTTTCTGCAGGATCCGGTAAGTAGAAGGCCTAGTAGACCAGAAATAGAGTGTCTTCTAATTTTTGTTAACATTTCTTTTGATTCTTTTCTGTTCAGCTAGGAGTTGGTTCTTGCTATGAGAAATTTATATTTTGTCTGAGGAGAAGAAACATACTGACAAGACTAGATAATGCAATAGGAAAAAAGACCAGAAAGATCATTCTTATACTAGGGACATGTGAGAATCACTGGGTATTAAATACACTTTCAAATGACCATTGTTTGGGGCTCGTTTGTGTTTGTTTGCTTTTGTTTTTCAGTCACATTTAAAGTTAATTTTTGGAATTTGGAATCACTTCAAAGAAAACAAGATAGGTATATATATATATGAGAAGGATTTAAAAGGTCAGAGACAGTGAACTAGAAGAATATAGACCAAAATTCCAATAATAGTTGATTTCTGGTAGAATTTACTAATAATTTTTTTTCTTCTAAATTTACTATATGTTAAGTTAATGTTACTTTCACAATAAAAATAAAAAATGTTTCTAAATGATATTTTGATTGCCAGCCAGCATTAGTATTGAAGTTACTAAATGCCCTTGATATTTAGAGAAATGAAAAATCTATGTAACAGATTAGTCAGGCACTCCATGGAATTGGGGGAGCCTGGGCCAATAGTAGTCACATGCTCAGGGAGGGACAGCCCAAGGGCAGGTGTGCTGGAGGGCGTGTTGGTTCATTCAGTCTTATGTGATGAGGTGTGTGTGAAGGTCTTAGAACAATGCCTGCCATGCACTAAACACCATATGTTAATAAATATATTTGTCTGGCTTCTCTGAGCCAGGCACTGTTACAGGTGCTAAGATCAAAGCAGGGTTCCTTTGCTTATGAACTAGAGGATTAGTTCTGTTGGGGGGGTGGGGAGACCAATAATAAATAGATATCTATATGGATCAGCTGGTGGTAAGGCCTGTGTAGAACAATCAGGCAGACTAAGGAAATCTGGACAGTGGAGAGATTATTGTTGTATTGAGGGTGGTCCAGGAGCTGTTCTCCTGTAAGAAGCCTAATTGGAGCCATAGCCCTGAAGGAGGTGAGGGAGAGGGCCTTACAAATTTGAAAGAAGAGTGCTTTAGGTTTGGGCAAAGGCCCTGGGGCAGCAGGCTTGGCTGGTTGGAGGAGTTACCAGGAAGCCGGGGTGGCTAGAGCAGGGAAAGCGGGGTAAGAGGAGTGAGGGAGCAGGGGTGAAACCATCAGGAGCTTTGATTTCTGAGTGAAATGTTTTGTTCAAGTTAATCACTTATTCTAAAACTTTGGGAATTCACAGAATAATACAGAAGTGGAAGAACTAGTACAGTGAACCAATATGTACTTCCGTCAGTTTTAATAACTTTCGCTCATAGTTAATCTTGTGTCATCTCTGCCACCACATACTCCTCAAGACACCCCTCTCCATTATTGTGAAACAAATCTCAGACCTGGTACCATCTCCTCTATAGTACTTCAGAATGTGATTCCAAAAGATGAGGTTCTCGTTCATCTTCATGATGCTCAGATTGTCCCATCTGTGGCCAGAAGGAGCCCTGTTAGCTCCTGTGCCGTGTGAGAGTACTCCTGTGGCCTGCGGTCTGACAGCTTCCCCTGCTTCAGGCATGACTTCCCGGGCTCAGCCTAGCACTTCCTGCCCTGGACTCGGAGGCAGTCATTTCTCAGAGGTACCTTGTTCTTCGTGGCGGGACATGGCATTATCAGAGGGACACCAAATCTCGATGGTCGATACAGGGTTGCTCTTCCAGGAAGTTTTCATGGACAGAAGGAGAACATTTTCACCTTTTAAAAGGAAACAAGATTTACGTACGTTATAAAAGACTTGTGTTAGGTGCTCTTATGCGGTGGTGGAGGGATGAGAGGGAACAAGGAAAGCGTTAGAAGGCTGGTACTGTGGTGCAGCTGAAGGATGGCAGGTGCTGAACTAGGGTGGTAATGGTGAAATAGAGAAATATTTGGGGTAATTTGGATATTTCTGTGTTCGAGCATTACCCACATAGAAACTGTCCTTCTTCTATCTCTGTTCACTGAAAGTTCCTAGAAGGACAGCCCTGTAGCAACAATCACCTCTACCAGCCAGATTTGGTCTTCATGTGATCGTGCCACGTCCCACCACAAAGAACGTTTATTAATGGATTATTTTGGGGTGTGAAATGAAGGATTAGTCAAGGGAGACACCACGGTCTTAGCTCAAGTTGCCTTTTATTGGGGCACAGGAAACTGGGAGGGCATCTTCCTGAGCAGAGGAAGGGGAGAACGCAGTGCCCAGTGTTGCATGAGTTAAGTTTGCATTATCTGTTAACAGTCTAATGTACAATGCTTTGACATTGGAACATGAGTGTAAAGTTTAAGGGAGGAGTCCAGGCTGGAGAAAGATACTCAGGTTGTCAGCAGATAAATGGCATTGAAAACCCTAGGACCGGATGAGCCTGGGAAAGTCACAGAAATACACACACGGTGCTCATAGGTCAGCGTCAAGAGGAAGACTCTTCTGAATCGTTGTCTTTTCTCGTGATAGGAAGGAAGGTCACGGCTGAGAGTGGAGAAGTGGGAGGGGATACTGGAGTTTGAGGAGGAGAGGAAGCGAGAGGGGTGGGAGTGGGAGTGGACTGTGGATCCTGCGGGCAGCAGAGGGCCCGCTGGGGACCAGTAGTCATGAGTTTAAGCACTGATGAGAGAGGAGCGGCGCGACTGGTAGAACTGGGGGAGTATGAATTCAGTACTGGGCATTTTGACCTTCAGGGGGATAGTGGCATATCCAAGCGGAATTGTCCTCGGGGAAGCTGGAGCTGTAAAATGGGGTGAAAATCTTGTCCATCAGAGCCACCCCTACCCAGATGTCCAGGGCTTGGTAAGCCAGGTTCCAGCCCTGCTTTCCTCCTCCTCAGCCAGGCACCTTGTGGAGTGCTTGACCACACACAGTGCCCTGTGCCAGTCACAGTAGTAGCTGAAGCTTTTGAGACTAAATCAGTCCTTGAAAGAGTGTAGGAAGGGGTGATAGAGAACTGGCTTTGGGGGCACAATCACAAGGAACCCAGTTTTCTGTCATGTGGTACTTGGTTTAGCACATGAGACAGGACAGGTGGTTATGCCTGTCCCTCTTTGCAGCAGAAATGGAAAGGTCAGGCTGGGAATTTAGTGTATGGAGGCCAGGAAAAAAGTCATGGGATGACTTCTGTTCTTTTTTAACTCATAAGCCAGTTCTCCATAAAATCTCTTTATTGAATAATGAGTTAATAAAATTGCCCTTAGGTATTGAAAATTTAAACCAGCATTTCCCTTCTTTAAAACTAAACAGCATATAAACGTTTTAGATTTGGATATCCCTCTTTTGGAAATTACCAGTCAACCATTTTTCCCAGCATTGTTTCATTCGGGCTTATGAAAGGCCTCATCTTTATTCTCTTCAGTGGAGGTGAGGACAGAGAGCAAGAGAAACCTTACCACCCATTCCAGGTCATCCCCTATTGGATTCACGTCCATAGCTCTACCCAGCAGGAATCTGAGCCTTGCTGTCTCACCCTGGTTGAGAAGATTCACTCTGGTTATGAAGGTAAGCCAAGAGTGTCTGCATTTAGATGAGACGTAACTGGTCAGCACGTCAGATAGAGTACGTGAAAGCCCATTTACTACAGCCATAAAACCAGAAAAGAGTGAGTCTTTCTTTTGGCCCTGAACATTCCAGGCATCAGGATTTTTCCTGATGTCTCTTGTTTAGTGACATTGACTTATTTCTTATGGGCCCATCTCCTTCAAGGACAGCATGGCCTAAGGGTCTGTGTGTAGACTGGACCACAGATACACAATTCTCTAATCATCTCGCTACTGGTAACAGTCCTATGGCCTTGTGCTTCTGTGTTGTGTGAAATAAGACCATGGACACTTCACATAAGAATGAATTCATGTTTTTACAGTGTTTTGAAACTGCCTGAGTAAAATGTATAGTTTATATCTTTAGATGGCATAACTACATTTCTAAATTCACATGTCAGTACAGAAGCAGTTTCCATTTATTATTTGAAATTACAATCAGTTCTGCTATAATGTGACATATGCATTCCTAAAAATTACCATTTTAGGCAAAAAAAAAAAAATCACACAGAAAAACCACAGGGCTTATGGGAAAAATGAGTCCAGGGACACAACAGTAAAAATTTAACAACCCATTAAAAATAAGGAAAAATTCCAAGAAAATGGCGGAATAAAAGGTCACTGTGATAACTTCCCACATACACAGTTAGGGAGCATCTGCATCTAATACAACTAACTCTGAAAACAACCTGAAGACGGGCAGAACAGACCTTCCACAGCTAACAAAAAAAGAGAAGGCCACACTGAGAAGGATAGAGGAACAGAGCCACAATTGATGAGGGTTCATACCCTTCCCCCACCCCAACCCATAAGCAGGGGGGAGTGAGGAACAGAGAGGGGAGAGTATAAACTCCCTGAAACCCAGCACAACTGGCCCTGGGGAAATGAATCTGGAAGATAAGCCCCCATAATGTCTGGCTTTGAAAGTCACTGGGCCTTAATGCTGGGAGAGCTGGAAGGCTGTGGGAGACTGAGTCTCTACCCTCTGAGAACAGAATGCTGTGTTGATTTGTCAGAGACCTGACCCAGAAGCAGCAGTTTGAAGGATTTATTGACTGAGAGGGGCAGCTTTCTCAGGGGGAGGAGGGGCTGGCAGAAGCCTTGTTTTGAGCCCTCTCAGCCTAACCAGCTGATGCTTATGGGTGCCAGTTCTGACACTTTCTATCTACTATGCCAGCACTGTTCTCTCTACCCCAGTGTTCCCCTATGGACTTATTTACCCAAAGTGCCCAGTTAAGCAGGTGCCTTGCTAAAGCTTCTATCAACTACCACTCTGGGGAGAGGAGGAGCTAGCCCCACCCACCAGCATGCTAACAGGAGTCAGCTGGCCATTGCTGGCCAACCAGGCTGCAGGCTGGCCTGCCCACCAGCAGGCCAGCAAGGGCTGTGCTCTTTCAGCCAGCTGCACCTGAAGTGAGCCGTGCAAACTAGTGCATATGCAGTAGTCAGCCATTGCCATCAGTCAGGTTGAGGGTGGCCTTACCTTCCAGCCCTCTCACAGCAGTTGTGGCTCAGCCACAACAAAGGTGAACACAGCTCACACAGGAGATACCCATGGAACACCCGGTTCTGGTGTTCGGGGGTTATTGAACTGGGCACCACAGGCTGTCTGCTACCTAAGGCCACTGTTTTCAAGATGAGGAGAAATAGCTGACCTATGCATAGAAACAAATACAGAGAACCAGACAAACTGGGGAGGCAGGGAAATATGTTCCAAATGAAAGAACCGGATAAAACGCTAGAAAAATTGCCAAATGAAGTGGAGGTAAGCAATCTATCTGATAAGAAATTCAAAGTAATAGTAATAAAGATGCTCACCAGACTTGAGAGAAGAATGGATGAATTGCGAGGACTTCAAAAAAAAAAAGTAGGAAAAAGAACCAGCAGAGCTGAAGAATACAATGACTGAAATGAAAAATATGCTAGAGGGAACGGCAGATTAGAGGACGCAGAAGAACAGGTCAGTGTCCGGAAGACGGGGCAGTGGAAAGCAACCAAGCTGAGCAACAGAAAGAAAAAAGACTCTTTAATGATAAGATGCTAAGAGAAGTCTGCAACTACTTAAAACAATATTCATATAACAGTGGTCATAGGAAGAAAAGAGAGAAAGGGACAGAAAAACCTATTTGAAGAAGTAACAGCTGAGAACTTTAGCCTGGAGGGGCAAACATCCAGGTCCAGGAGTCACAGAGAATCCCAAACTATTGACCTTGGCACGTAGTAATTAGAATGGCCAAGATTAAAGAAAGAGAATCTGAAAAGCAGCAGGAGAAAAGCAGTTACATACAAGAGAAATCCCGTAAGTCCACCAGCTGATTTTTTAGTAGAAACTTTACAAGCCAGAAAGGAGTGGCATGATATATTCAAAGTGCTGAAAAGAAAAAAAGCCAACAACCAGGAATACTCTACCCAGCAAGGCTATCATTCAAAACTGCGAAGAGAGTTTCCCAGATAAATGGATGTTAAAAGAGTTCATCACTAAACCAGCCTGACAAGAAACATTAAAGGGACTTTTTTAAGTGGAAAAGAAAAGTTCATAACTAGAAGTAATTAGGAAACGAAAAAAGTTTTCACTGATAAACACAAACTTACAAACTTACAGCAATGGTAGTGTGAAGATACAATCATTTATAAAGCTAGTATGAAGTTCAAAAGACAAAAATAGTAAAATCAGTTATATGCACAAAAGTCAAGGGATACACATTATAAAGATGTAAATTATGACATCATATACTTGAAATGTGGAGGGGGAAATAAGTGCTTTTAGAATGTGTTTGAACTTAGCCATCAATCTAAAATATAGACTGCTATGTACATAGGATGCTGTGTATGAACCTCATGGCAACCCCACACCAAAAACCTGTAATAGATAACAAAAAATAAAGAGAAAGGAATCCAAGCATATCAAAGTCATGTGCAAGAGAAGAAAGGCATAAAAAAGAACTACAAAAGTACCTGGAAAACAGTTAACAAAGTGGCAATTATCAATAATTACTATAAATATATAAGTGGCATGAATACTTCAATCAAAAGACATAAGGTGGCTGAATGTATAAAATAGACCCATGTATGTGCTGCCTGTAAGGCACTCACTTTAGAACTAAAGACACCTATAAAGTGACGAGATGGAAACAGATTCCATGCAAATGGAAATGAAAGAAAAGCTGGAGTAGCAATACTTGTATCAGACAAAATAGATTTCAAAACGAAGAATGTAACCCGGAGATGAGCATTACATAATGATAAAGGCATCAGTTCAACAAGAGGATGTAACAGTGCTGAGTATCTATGTACTCAATATAGGAGCACCTAAATACATAAAGCAAATACTTAAAAGTCATAAAGGGAAAAATTGACTAATACAACAATAGTAGGGACTTTAAAACCGCATTTACATTAATGAATAAAAGCTTCAAGACAATAAGGAAATGGTGTATAACACATTACACCAGCAGAATATTCCATCCAAAGTTAGCAGAATACACATTCTTTTCATGAAACATTCTCTAGGATAGATGACATGTTTGGGCACACAATAAGTCTCAATAAATTTAGGAAGATTGAAATCATATCTAGCATCTTTTTTGACCACAATGGTATAAAACTAAAAATCACAAAAAAACCTGGAAAAAATAAAAACGCATGGAGGCTAAACAATAAGTGGGGTCAGCAAAGAGGAAATTAAAAAAATATATGGAGACAAAACAGTCAAAATTTATGTGATACAGTAAAAGCAGTTCTAAGGGGTAAGTTTATAGTGATACAGGCATACCCCAAGAGGGAACAATCTCAAATAAACAATCTAACCTTATAACTGAAGGAACTAGAAAAAGAACAAACAAAACCCAACATTAGTGATAGGAAGGATTTAATAAAGATCATAGCAGAAATAGAGACTAAAAAACAATAGAAAATATTAATGAAACTAAGAGCTGATTCTTGGAAAAGATAAGATTGATAATCTTTTAGCCAGACTTATCAAGAGAAAAGAGAGAACTCAAAATCAAAAAGTTACAACTGACACCACAAAAATACAAAGGATTATAAGAGAATTCAATGAAAAATTATATGCCAACAAATTGGACAACTTGGAAGAAATGGATACATTTCTATGCATATAATTTTCCAGGACTGAATCATGAAGAAATAGAAAATCTGAACACAGATTTCTAGTAAGGAAATTGAATCAGTAATAAAAGACTCCCAACAAACAAAAGTACATCACCAGATGGCTTCACAGGTGAATTCTACCAAACATTTAAAAACAGCTAATACCCATCCTTAAAACTATTCCAGAAAATAGAAGAGGGAGGACTGCTTCCAAGTATTTCCTACCAGGCCAGGATCACCTGATATTTCAAAAACCAGGCAAAGACATTACAAAAAACAAAAAGATTACAGAGCAATGTCCCTGATGACTATAGATGCAGAAAATCCTCAGCAAAATGTTAGCAAACTGAATTCAAAAATACATTAAAGAGATCATTCAAAGACCAAGTTGGATTTATTCCAGGGATGCAGGGATGGTTCAGTATCTGCAAATCAATCAATATGATAACCACATTAACAGAAAGAAGGATAAACCATATCATTTCAATAGATGCAGTAAAAGAACTTGACAAAATTCAGCATCCATTCTTGATGGAAAATCTCAACAAAGTGGATATAGAGGAAACATACCTCAACATAATAAAAGGTATAACACATTACAAACCCACAGCTAGTATTGTACTCAATGGTGCAAAGCTTTTCCTCTAAAATTAGAAACAAGGCAAGGATACCCATCACCACTTTTATTCAATATAGTACTGGAAATCCAAGTCACTGAGCAATCAGACAAAGAGAATAGGCATCCAAATTGATAAGGTTAAGAAGTAAAATTGTCATTATTTGAAGATGACATGATACTATATATAGAAAACCTTAAAGACTCCACCAAAATATTAGAATAAATGAATTCAATAAAGTTGCACATATCAAATCAATACACCAGAATCCATTGTGTTTCTGTATAAAATAAACCAGTAGGGAAATTAAGAAAATCTCATTTACAGTTGCATCAAAAAACAAAACACGTAGCAATAAATCTAAACAAGGAGGTGAAAGACCTGTACTCTGAAAATTATAAGACACTGATGATAGAAATTGAAGATGGTACAAATAAATGGAAAGATCTTCCATGCTCATGGATAGGAAGAATTATGTTAAAATGGCCATACTACCAAAAACAATTTATAGATTCAGCGCAATCTCTATCGAAATGCCAATGTAATTTTTCATAGAATAAATAATACTAAAATTTGTATGGAACCACAAAACCCTGAATGTATTGCTAAAGCAATCTTGAGAAAGAACAAAGCTGGAGATACCTGGTTTCAAACTCTACTACAAAGCTACAGGAGTCAAGTCAGTATGGTACTGGCACAAAAATATACATATAAAACAATGGACCAGAGTAGAGTCCAGAAATAAACCCATATCCGTACGGTTAATGAATATATGACAAAGGAGGCAAGAATATCCATTGGGAAAAAGATGGTCTCTTCAACAAATGGTGTTGGGAAAACTGGACAGCTATCTGCAAGGGAATGAGTCTCACTGTCTTATCCCACCCAGGAAAGTAAATGTGAAATAAAAACATAAATACCAGTTTCATTTAATGTAAAACTCCTAGAAGAAAACAAGCAGTAAATTCGAGAACCTTGGCATTGGTAAATTTTTTTAGATGTGTCTTCCCAGGCAAGGGAAACAAAAGCAAAAATAAATGAGACTGCATCAGATTAAAAAGCAAAAATAAACAAGTGAAACTACATCGAACTACAAATCTCTGCACAGTGAACTAACCATCAACAAAATGCCTCCTACAGTATGGCATAATATATTTGTGAATTATATGTCCAACAAGGGAGTGATATCCAAAACATTTAAAGAACTCCCATAGCACCAAAAAAACAAATAATCTGATTAAAAAATGGGCAGAGGACCTAATAGATATTCTTGTAAAGAAAACGTACAGATGCCAACAGACACATGAAAAGATGCTCAGCATCACTAGTCATCAGGGGATGCAAATGAGAACCATGATGAGATACCAGCTCACGCCGGTCAGAATGGCTGCTGTCAAAAAGACAAGCGTTGGCGAGGATGTGGAAGACAGGAAAGCTTTGGGCACCGTTAGTGGGAATGTAAATTGGTGCAGCTGTTACGGAAAATAGAATGGAGGTTCCTCAAAAAGCTAAAAATGAAACAGAAGTAGACTCATGAGCACAGAGAATAGACTGGTGGTTCCCTAGAGGAGGGGGTTTGTGGGGCCAGTGAACTAGGTCAAGGGGATAAAGAGGCACAAAACTCCAATTACAAAATAACCATAGGGATAAAGTACAGCATTGGAAATTTTGCCAATATACTGTAAGAACTTTACATGATAATGCAAATTATATCAGTAATACATATAGTTGTCGAATCACTATGCTCTACACCTGAAACCAATATAATATTGTATATCACCTATGCTTCAATTAAAAAATAAGACAGGAATCTAGTAAAAACAATAATACATGTTAAATGATTAAGAAATACACAAATGCTATAATAAACAAAGCTCCTCACCTTGGAAAAGCCCTGCAGTGCTTGTGGACATGGGTGTTAGAAGGGCTGCAGCTGGCGAGTTACTGGGGGGTGGGAGGGTGCACAGGAGCGTGGAAGGAAGGTTGTCTCAACTCAGACTGAAAGTTCTAACATCCGGCATGGACAGGTGGGTCCCATAACACACAGTGCCCGCAGGTAGCCGTAGACGTTAGGTCGGAGGTGTGTGAGTGTGTTTGTGTATTCCTGTGACCCAATTCATCTAGATGTTTTTTGCATTCACCTCATGTTTCTTGCACATGAAATCATGCATGAGCAAGTACAAAATTAACATTAAAATGTCCATATTGTACTGACATTTCAAGTCCTATGTGCTTAGTTATATGTAACCAGTAAAGATGACGAGACTTTTCAGTCCTGCCCTGTAAGTCACTCCAGCTTTGACCATCAGACCATTTGCAACGAGCCAGCTGTCAGCGCACAGACTCTGTTTAGAATTAGTAGGCACCACACTTTGGCCTAATTAAAATGTAGTTAATAATGAAATTATCATTGAACTAGCTTTGGCTGCTTCAAAACCAGGCCTGTGAGTGATATTTTTACCATTTCATACAGCAGTTTTGTTCCTTTTTAACATGTGAAGTAGTTAGTTACGTTTGATTACATATTTGCCTTTAAATGGGTTTTCTGTTTTTCATAGCTCCTCGCATCCCAGTGGATAAAAGAATTTTTACCACAACACACACCCCAGGGTGTGTTTTTCTTGAAGTAGATGAAAGGTAAGTACCTTTTTAGGCCTGAAAGAAATTTGTTTCTGAAAATAAATAAAAATATAAGGAGCTTACATTATATTTATATATTTCTACATTGCATTACTGATATCTGTCCTTTGGCCATTTCATTTTTATTAGTTTGAAATTTATCTTTAAACAAATGCTTTATATAAATATCTTGTATGTTATACTTCTAAATTTACATGTTTTCATACTCACTTTCATTCTCCTTTGGGTAAATCAGGAGTTACTCCATTTTACGCAAGACAGGAGCTCGGGCCACATAGTATATTGGCACTGAGACCAAGACTCCGGGCTCCTGGCACTGTTATTTTCACTGGGCAGGTGCTTCCCAAACCAGTTTATGATGAAATTTTTATTACTCTGAAGTGGGGGAGGGGGAGAAAGACTAATAAGGAAAGGGTTTTGGGGGGGATAAAGCCAAGTTTAATTTAAAGCCTTGTTACTTATTTTGACCTTGTGTTCTTCCTCCCTTTTTTTTTTTGTGTTAAAATTGTCTTATTTATGGAATAATGATAATAGACAGTAGTCTTTGCTTATTGTGGTTTTTAATATCTTTAGTTGGAAAAATAAAACCTCGTTATACATGATTGGCACCCTTCATTTCCCCCAAGTTTATTTTAAAATTTTACTTGTGAAATCTGATAATCTGGGAACCAGTGCATTCTGCCACACCTAAGTGTAAAATGGAAATGTCAAAAATCCTGGCATAGTTATGATGATAGGTATTAATTTTGATTTAAAAAAATCTTTACATCTGAAAATGGGTTTATTTAATAATAGTTGCCCTGAAACTAAGCAGTAATTGGTGAGATACTTTAGATATTATAATCTGTAGAAAGAAAGTCTAGTTTAAGATATTCTGAAAATAGCTCAACTCTGTTGGACCAGAAAATATTTGTGAATTTGTACACATAGAAAATGTCCATGGTGCCTGTTCTTCCCATGTCCTCTGAGGCTTTGTGGTTCCCACTGTCCGGTGAACCTTCTCCCTGCACACGTCTCTGTGTGCTGGTGTCTGCTTATTTGATACTACTGTTTGGGGGACTTTGGCTTTTTTAATAAATTTAACCATGTTGTATAAATTTGTAGCCTGCTTTATTCATTTGACACCATAAATATTTTTCTGCTATGATTTGATCTTTGTAGAGTTTTTAAATGGTAACAAAATGAAGGTCATCAGAGACCTCTGAGGAACTTGTTAAAAATACAGATTCCTGGTCTTACCCCAGAAATTCTGATTTAGCTAGCTCGCGGTGAGCCTGTGAATCTGTTACTTAGCAAGTTCTGCAGATGATGTTAATACAGCCTGTGTGATGACCCCCATTTCTTAGATGAGGTAACTGTTTCCCCACAGTATGGGCATTAGTGGTGTTGGCTGCTTTCATAAATGCTGTAATGGCCATCTTTTGCATACCTACATTTTCATATTTAGAATTAAGTTAAAGTATATATAGTGTAAAAATTATATGATGCATGTAGCATGCCACCTGTGCTGTGTGTCTGTCACAGAGCAGTGCCTTTGCTGGGTTACCTACCTCAGGATCTGATTGGAACATCTATCTTAATGTATCTGCACCCAGAGGATCGTTGTCTGATGGTCACCATACACGAAAAAGGTAAGGACCTACTTCTTTATAGAAGGAGCTTTTTTAATCATTGATCTATTTTAAGATTTCATGTAATTTCTTATCTGAGCTTCCTGTATGCGCTAATCATTACAGCTTAATCTTTAACCTGGCAAGCAGTATATTGAAACTGCTAAATAAAACAAGGTGGGTTTTTTCCTTCTAAATTTTTGACATTCTAAAAAATTTACAAATAAATGCCTAGGAAAAAACATTTGTAATATATATACCTATGTTAAATACATTCTAATCTTGTCTTATTTTATATAGTTTTGAAGTATGCAGGCCATCCTCCCTTTGAACATTTACCCATTAGATTTTGTACTCAAAATGGAGATTACATCATACTGGATTCCAGTTGGTCCAGTTTTGTGAACCCATGGAGCCGAAAGGTTTCCTTCATCATCGGTCGGCATAAAGTTCGAACGTAAGTCAGTCAGTTTTCATGTTTTTCTAAAGGATCTTTTTTTACCCAGTAATATTCCTTTGCCCATTGACTTTCCTTTAAATCAGCTGATTCATGAACTGAGTACAGATTTTTTTTTCAGTGCTTTTGGAAGACAGTTTAACAGTATGTAATAAAAAGCCTTGCAAGATTTCTACCTCTTTGATACAATGATTCATTCCCTTAAGGGAATATTCTAAGGAAATATGTCCAAATACAGAAAAGCTTTATAAAGAAAAAAACACATTTTGCAACATTATTTAATCATAATGGCAGACTTAAGAATATCTTTAAATGGCCACAATTAAGTAAACCCTGGAATATTTGCTTCACATGTTATTGGCCAATACAACTTTTTATAAAGATTATGTAAATGATATAAATTGTTGTATTAGATGTAAAAAGCAACATATAAAATTTTGTTTATACCATATGATTATATTTAAAACACACAAACACTGTGAAATAGGATAAAGAAGAATAAAAAAAATTTGGTTATGGTTGGGTAGTAGGGGAATGAGATTTTCTATTTTGTCTTTTCTGAATTTTAAAGTTCTCTTTAGTGAGCATGTAAAAGTTTTTATACGAGCCTTCTACTGTCAAATTCCACTTATTTGTGTCTATTTCATCTAATATTTATTTTTAAAAATTAGATTCTTTAATATTTGTTTTCCTGCCAGGAGGGCCAACTCAAGCCTGTTTGATTCCTGTTTCCTGTCCTTATGACAGACTCTTGTGAAATGGACTGAGAACAACCTGGCCCACCACTCTCGTAGCCTAAAATGCTCCTGGTCTCTTGACTTTTTAGTCCATTTAAAATTGATTTGTAGGGTTCCCAGCTAGCCATAGGTTTCCTTTTGAAGTCTCTTTTTTTTTTTAACCATAGAAATCATACTTAACTTTTCAGTATCATGCTGAGATTGAGAAATTACTTCTTCTGTGTTTTGTTACACAGCTTGTGCACATAAGCATCAAACAGAACAGTAGCCCTCCAGCAGGACTTGTTTCATCACACCCCGTTGTTTTGTTAGAGTGAAGCATAGGCATGCTGCAGGAAGGTCTTGGAGTCGCTTTGCCCTCATTGTGTGCCAAGGTTTGGCCTCTCAGCAGAGCCAGTTTGGAACCTAATGGAAGAAGGGAGCCACTTGCCACATTTGCTCATGGACTGATTTGTGCTGGAAAACTAACTTAATAATTCAGTTAAGAAACATGACTGCCAAGTAAATGCTATTTATGTTGGTCAGAAAGGGCATTTCCCAGTAGGGAAACCTGTTGGGAAATGGAATGAATCAGACGGTGCTTAGGGGGCTTAAAGATGGTGGCGCTAGAGGTGAGACAGAAACCTCCAAAACCCACATAGAATATGAAAATATAGCAAGTACAACTAATCCTGAAAGAGCAACAGGAAAGAAGCCTGCAACAGACTGCCTACATATGGGGAAAAGAGAAGACCTCATGAAAAAGGGTTATGTACAAAAGCCTTAATCTGGTGGGACCAAAGCCCCTCCCCCACCCCAGCTCACCAGTGGGAGGAAGAGAAATGGAGCAGGGAGGGGGTGGAGGCCTGGGACTGCTGAACACCCAGCCCTGGAGATCTGCTCTGGGAGCACGAACCTACATTACATGGTGCTCTGGAGATTAGTGGGGTTGGCAAGCTAAGACAGGTGGAATACTCGGAGAGACTGAGATTCCAGCTACTTGTGGAGAACATGTACCCACAACCAGCTGCTCTATGACAAAAGAAAGGTGGGTACTCTGAGAGACTTCCCAACACTGAGAGGGCTGGTAAATAGGCAAGGATTGCACAGAGCTCACTGCTCAGGAGAAAGGACAGGTGTACAAAATTGTCCTGGTGCACTCTGTAGGTTGGGAACTTTCAGGAGCTTCAGGCACTCCATTCCCCTGGCTGGCAGTGCAGCTGTGAGACCCCCACTGCAGTATGCAGCCTGCTGCTCCTTCCTCCCAGCTGGCAGCAGCCTGCAAATCTGCTGCCCCCACCATTGCCCCAGTCCAGCCAGAGGGAAGCCCTGCCTACAGCAGCCACAGGTGCTTATCCAAGAGGCTGCTTCCTGTGTGCTTCACTTACTGGCCCTGACACGGGAACCAGGCACTACAACCAGTAAGCAGGAAGGAGCTCTCTCCTGGCAGGTACCAGCACCGCTGGCCTGTGACCCCCACCATCACTCCAGGGGATGAGCAGCTCCAGAGAGTAGAGCTTCTGGGCACTAGAGGGCACCACCTGCACCAAATTAGTACTATAAATATGAAATGTCAAAGGAACCTGGTACAAACCAAAATAACACAAACACCAGAAAGAGGGCCAAGTGAAACTGAACTCACCAGTCTTCCTGAAAAAGATTTCAAAATAAAAATCATAAACATGCTCATGGAGCTACGGAAAAGTATTCAAGACCCCAGGAAGGAATTCAAGAAAGACAAAGAAACTTTGAAAAATACAGTATCCAAAATATATAATGGAGGGATTTAAAAGCAGATTAAATGAAGTAGCAGAGACGTTAAATGAAGTAGAAATTAGAGAACAAGAATACAAAGAAGCTGAGGCACAGAGAGAAAAAAAAAGATCTGTAGTAATGAAAAAATATTGAGAACTGTGTGACCAATCCAAATGGAACAATATTCACATTACAAGGATATCAGAAGAAGAAGAGAGAAAAAGGGATACAAAGTGTCACTGAAGAGGTAATTGCTGAAAACTTCCCCAATCTGGGGAAGGAGATAGTCTCTCAAGCCACAGAGGTGCACAGATCGCCCAACACAAGGGACCCAAGGAAGACAACACCAAGACATATAATAATTAAAATGGCAAAGATCAAGGATAAGGACAGAGTACTAAAAGCAACCAGAGAAAGAAAAATCACTTACAAAGGAAAACCCATCAGGCTACCATCAGACTTTTCAACAGAAACCTTATTGGCCAGAAGGGAGTGGCATGATACATTTAATGCAATGAAACAGAAGGGCCTTGAACCAAGAATACGTGACAAGATTATCATTTAAATTTGAAGGAGGGTTTAAACAATTTCCAGATAAGCAACAGTTGAGAGAATTTACCTTCCACAAACCATCTCTACAGTGTATTTTGGAGGGACTGGTACAGATAGAAGCGCTCCTAAGGCTGTCACCAGAGAAAATAACACCACAGTAAAGGAAGTAGACTGATTAATTAATAGCAGATGCAAAATTAAACCAACTACTCCCCAAGTCTGTCAAGGGATACATAAGGAGTTCAGAATATACCTAAAATATAAAGAAAGGAGGAAAGGAAAAAAATAGAACCTTTAGAGTGTTTGTAATAGCATGCTAAGCAAGTTAAGTTAGACAGATAGTAGCTACCCTTGAACCTTTGGTAACATTGAACCTAAAGCTTGCAGTGGCATTAAGTATATATCTATTGATAATCACCCTAAATGTAAATGGACTAAATGCACCAATCAAAAGACCATAGTCACTGAATGTATAAAAAAACAAGACCCGTCTATATACTGCTTATAAGAGACTCAAACCCAAAGACATACACAGACTAGAGTGAAGGGATGGAAAAAGACATTTCATGTAAGTAATAGGGAGAAAAACCAGGAGTTGCAGTACTAATATCAGACAAAATAGACTTCAAAAGAAGGACATTACCTAATGATAAAAAGGATCAGGCCAACAAGAGGGTATATCTGTGCAGCCAACACAGGAGCACCTACATATGTGAAACAAATACTAACAGAATTAGAGGGGGAAATAGAAAGCAATGCATTCATTTTAGGAGACTTCAACATAGCACTCACTCCAAAGGACATTGGCCAGAAGGGAGTGGCATGATACATTTAATGCAATGAAACAGAAGGGCCTTGAACCAAGAATACGTGACAAGATTATCATTTAAATTTGAAGGAGGGTTTAAACAATTTCCAGATAAGCAACAGTTGAGAGAATTTACCTTCCACAAACCATCTCTACAGTGTATTTTGGAGGGACTGGTACAGATGGAAGCGCTCCTAAGGCTGTCACCAGAGAAAATAACACCACAGTAAAGGAAGTAGACTGATTAATTAATAGCAGATGCAAAATTAAACCAACTACCCCCCAAGTCTGTCAAGGGATACATAAGGAGTTCAGAATATACCTAAAATATAAAGAAAGGAGGAAAGGAAAAAAATAGAACCTTTAGATTGTTTGTAATAGCATACTAAGCAAGTTAAGTTAGACAGATAGTAGCTACCCTTGAACCTTTGGTAACCATGAACCTAAAGCTTGCAGTGGCATTAAGTATATATCTATTGATAATCACCCTAAATGTAAGTGGACTAAATGCACCAATCAAAAGACCATAGAGTCACTGAATGGATAAAAAAACAAGACCCGTCTATATACTGCTTATAAGAGACTCACTTCAAACCCAAAGACATACACAGACTAGAGTGAAGGGATGGAAAAAGACATTTCATGTAAGTAATAGGGAGAAAAACCAGGAGTTGCAGTACTAATATCAGACAAAATAGACTTCAAAAGAAGGACATTACCTAATGATAAAAAGGATCAGGCCAACAAGAGGGTATATCTGTGCAGCCAACACAGGAGCACCTACATATGTGAAACAAATACTAACAGAATTAGAGGGGGAAATAGAAAGCAATGCATTCATTTTAGGAGACTTCAACATAGCACTCACTCCAAAGGACAGATCAACCAGGCAGAAAATAAGGAAGGAGAACAGAGGCACTGAACAACACACTAGAACAGATGGACCTAACAGACATCTACAGAACTCTACACCCAAAAGCAGCAGGATACACATTCTTCTCAAGTGCACACCGAACATTTTCAAGAATAGATCATATACTAGGCTACAAAAAGAGCCTCAGAAAATTCAGAAGGATTGAAATTGTACCAACCAGCTTCTCAGACTATAAAGGTGTGAAACTAGAAATAAATTATGCAAAGAAGAGAAAAAAGCCCACAAACACATGGAGGCTTCACAACATACTCCTAAATAATCCATGGATCAATGACCAAATTAAAACAGAGATCAAGCAATACATGGAGACAAATGAAAACAGTAACTCAACACTGCAAAATCTGTGGGATGCATCGAACGCTGTGCTACGAGGGAAGTATATTGCATACAGGCTTACCTCAGGAAAGAACAATCCCCTATGAACAGCCTAAACCAACAATTAACAAAACTAGAAAAAGAAGAACAAATGAGGCCCAAAGTCAGTAGAAGGAGGGACATAATAAAGATCAGAGCAGAAATAAAATTGAGAAGAATAAAACAATAGAATCAATGAAAGCAGGAGCTCGTTCTTTGAAACAATTAACAAAATAGGTAAACCCCTAGCCAGACTTACCAAGAAAAAAAAGAGTCTACACAAATAAACAGAATCAGAAATGAGAAAGGAAAAATCACCTTGGACACCACAGAAATAAAAAGAATTACTAGAGAATGCTATGAAATTATATGCTAACAAATTGGATAACCTAGAAGAAACGGACAACTTCCTAGAAAAATTAAAACTTCCAAGGTTAACCCAGGAAGAAACAGAAAATCTGAACAGACTAATTACCAGCAATGAAATTGAATTGGTAATCAAAAAAGTACCTAAGAACAAAATTCCTGAACCAGATGGCTTCATCACTGAATTTTACCAAACTTTTAGTGAAGACCTAATACCCATCCTCAACATTTTCCAAAAAGTAGAAGAGGAGGGAATTCTTCCAAACTCATTCTGTGAGGTCAGCATCACTCTAATACCAAAACCAGGCAAAGACACCACAAAAAAATTACAGACCAGTATCCCTGATGAACATAGATGCAAAAATACTCAACAAATGACCAGAACAAGTGTGGCTACACCTCTGCCAGGCAGCCCAGGCACCCCCCTGCCAGTGTGGAAGACGCATCCTGCATGCCCTGCATGGTCTTCTCTGCTCTTGGATTAAGTATAAATGAAATTAACTGCCACCTAAATACTACTCAGTGTTGCCAGTATTTTTAAATTACACCAATATTTGCATTTCAAGATTCAGAATTATGTTAGGGAAAGAAGTGATTTAGTAAGTACTAATCTTGCTCATAAAATAATCATAATCATCCATTATACTTATAAAATCTTTTAAAAGTCTTCCTTTATTTTGTTTATTCCTTCCATAAGCCCTTATGTGTCACCAAGTGCATCAGGCACTGGGCTGGACCCTGAGCATGAGACAGTAAACAGAACAGACCTTCCCTTTACCGTGGACCTACTGTGTGTTGGGAGAGGCGGGAAATGGAAATGGCTCTGCCCCCTACGGGAGACTTGGGAGAGAGTGGCAGTGAGGTGGGGGGGCAGTGGCAGTGTTTTGCAGGAGGCCCTGAACACGTACGTCTCTGGGTCCTTCCCAGCAGCTCTGTGGGCAGCCAGGTTAGGTGCTGTCACTGCCACCTTCACAAATGACTGCTGTATCAATGGGAACAGAGTAACTTTCCTCAGGGTCACTTACAGAGGAAGCTGCAAAGTGGAGACCAGAAGCAGATTTCCTTCTTACTCCCAGTCTCCTTTCGTGACACAGAGAGCAGCCTAACACTTAGTGGTGTGTTTGCCACTTTTTGTTTACAGGCTGTGTCTCTGTGCCCTACACATTAATCACTTTGAGTTATGTAACTGCTGATCAAAAATACTTGAAAGTTTCACAAATAGGAATATCTAAATCTCACAATACAAAGCAGCCTGTTCTAGTTCCATTTTCAGAATTCCGCTTGAAATACAAAACCCAAACACCTCTGGAGATATTCGGGCTCATAGTGCACAGATCATACTGATCCTTCACTGGTGTATTCATTCTTTGATGTGCCAGGCCATTGGAATACTGGAGAAGTGAGCAGAACGGACACGGGCCTGACCCCACAGAGCTCGCATGGTAGTGGGGGGCAGCAGGACAGACCACAGGCAAAGCGATTAAATAAAAACGCAGTGTGTCAGGCCGTGTGGCTCAAGTGCAGTCACCATATCTACGCAAGAACGAGCCAAACCGGGTGCAGTGCTGAGGTGGGTGTCACAACGGGTGCACCCCACAGGAGGGAGTGGTGTCCAGGGGTGAGCGTCCTCACTACTTCATGTCACTGCCAATACCCTGCGGTTTTGCTAATAATTTCTGTCTTTGGGAAAGTGTTTCAGTTTTTAGGGACTGGAGCTGTGTGTGAAGTTGGGAGAAATGGCGGGATGGCATGATGGGAAAGGAAGCCCTGGCCTTGGAGTCAGCGCAGGGAGTCACACCCTGACTGTTGCTGCTCGGTTTTGGGAACTTGGCGAGTTCCTTAACCTCTCTGACATCAGGATAATCCCTACCTCACAGGGCCGGGAGGTCTCAGGAGATGACATACCTGACTGCTTTGCCTCATCAAACGCACCTGCCTTACTGAGGTGCGCAGGGGCAGACAGCAAGCTGGCAGATGGGCACTCGGGAGCCTGGACTCTGGCCCCTTTGTGGGCACCTGCTAGACCTTACCAGCTCCGTGGCCTTGAGCAAATTTTCAACTCAGGCAAAGGAGAGAGCACTTGATAGAGCACTTGGAACAGTGCCTGGCACCTGGTAGAAGTTTAGAAAATGCTTTACTGTGTTATAAAACCAGTATGGTTCCTGTCAAATAGAAAGTCCTAAGTAAATGTCAGCTCCTTCCCTCTGTGATCCTTTCTACTGATACATCTGCCTCTCACTGTATTTAGGTAGCAGTTTCAAAATGCCCTAGAATTTGAGTATAAACCAAACTGAATGTATTGTCATAGTCCAGTTTCAGTGCTAGGGCGGGTTGCATCTTTAGCACGTAACTGAAGTGGTTAGGTACATCGAACATTAAGTGTTGTTTAGCAAGCTTAAAATTCCTACAGTAGGTCACTCAGTTACTGTTAAGCTTTGAGACCAGCATTGTTGAAGGTATTTTAGTAGCTAAGGAGGTTGCTTGTCACTGATTTTTGATTTAGATATTGGCGAAATGATTGCAGAATGAGTTAGAGCTCTAAGGAAACCACAGAAGCCTGTGACTGTCTCCTTTGTTTCCTCATATTTGCTCTACCCCAGGAGTAGAAATTTACTTTCACATTTTCTATATTTGGAGCCGAAGAGTTGCTTTGTAAAAACATGGGTTTATGATTTGAATATTCTATTTACAAAATCACTTTAGACTTCATTGTAAATGCGTTTGAAATTGCTCAACTCACCCTTTCACTTGGCATTTTGTAGGAGTCCACTGAATGAGGATGTTTTTGCTACCCGAATAAAAAAGATGAACAATAATGACAAAGATATAACAGAATTACAAGAACAAATTCACAAACTTCTCTTACAGGTAAAGTGAGAGATTTTAAAAAGCAAACACAAAATTCCCATAATCAGGTTTTATTTCAACATTCAGTCTTAGTAAAGTCACTTCACGAAAATATACTACACAGATAAAGAAATTTTTTACCCTCTGCATTCCAGAAATTTTTGTCTTCCTCTTTTTAGTTTTACATTTTATTAATCGTGTTTCCATTTTCCAAGTTAAGTACACAGAGCATTTTTGTAAGGTTGCCTTCTGAAAGCAGACCGAGTCACAGTCAGCATCAAGGTGGAGAAGTTACTTCTCAGTGAGAGAATTGTTTTATTCCACGTTCTACCAGTGTGCTCAACCTCTGGGTTTAGGCTTCACGATTATTTTAAAGTAATTGCAATTTTAAAGGTGGGGGCAGAGAAGTAGCAGGTCTCAGTATCTCGAGTTATATAAGGCAAAAGTGGGAAAGGCTGCCTGGTGAAAACAAATACCCAAAATGTTGTCCCCTGAATGTTCCCTCAGTGAACTTCTATGCGCTGGTGGCATCACACAGAAAACTCAGCCCAGCAGTTAGCAAAATGCCTTTCAGAAAATTTGTAGGGTTCATAAAGTACCTGTGGTGGTATATATTTGGAAAAAAGTATGTGTTTTTAATTGTTCTAAACTCAGCAAAAAGAAGAGATTATTTTCATGTTCTGTTAAACTTATGATACTATGGCTTTTAAAAAATTTGTCCAGAAATACCCACCTAGACTAGAAAACTAGGCTTTGCCCTTGAGTATTACTGAAATGAGAGAAGCATGTCTTTCATGTCAGCATCAGGCTTAGAAGCATCAACCTTCACACACCTAATTTAGGATTTCAGAAATTTAAATCTTAATTTCTGATGATTTTAGATAAGCTCTGAGGTAGATAATGCTGTTGTCTCTTTAACCACCATCTAACCAGTACCTCCATGACTGGGCCTCCTTTGTCTTTCAGCCAGTTCACATGAGCACTTCCAGTGGCTACGGAAGCCTGGGAAGCAGCGGGTCTCAGGAGCATCACATCAGCGTGGCATCCTCTAGTGAGTGCAGTGGGCACTGTGTGGAAGAGACGCAGAAGGAACCGGTAAGTGAGCAAATGCCGTGTTTTTGGACAGGCATCCTCTTTCTGTGTGGTTTCTGTGAAACGTGTCAGTGCCAGTTCTACACCTCAGCACAGGTGGCTGCTTATTATATGATTCTGGACTTGAAGACCTTACCTGATAATAGACACTCTGATACACTCTGGTTTGGGAAAATGTCTGTACAAAGAAAGTACCACCTTTGGAGGGTGGTATTTGGGTCAGTTGTTTGCTTTGTAAAATGAGTGCATTGTGAACAGATATGTTAGAGTGTCATTGGTCCTAGCGCGCTGGGGCACAGTGGGAAACTGAATCACCATTACTACTGTGCTTGTGCTTGCAGTAATTATGTATTCAGAGAACTCAGAGTTAAATATATTTTGTTTATGTGTCTTTTAATCTTTTGATGTACATTTTTGTAATTTTTGAAACATATTTTATCATTCTTTTCCCTAAGATGACTTTGCAGCAGGTCTATGCCAGTGTAAACAAAATAAAAAATGTAGGTCAGCAGCTCTACATTGAGTCAATGACCAAATCGCCAAAGAAGCCAGTGATGGGGACGCACAGAGGACAGCTTGGCGGTAAGTCAGCAGGGCAGCCCTGGACCTCCTCCTGTGGCTCTTCCCTCTTCTGCATAGACGTAGCCTGTGTGGGCATGAAGCCATGACCCTGTGTTACTGCTTTTCCTATTTACTTGACCCGTCTAGTAATTGTAATAACAATACTAGTAATGGCAACAGCAAGTACTGTTCTGGGAACTAAATTATATTAGGATGTAGTTGGGGTGTTTTGCCAAAGAATTAACATTTCTGATAACAACAAATTCACAGAGCCCCCTCTGTGAGCCATCTACAAAGGAAGACAGTAAATTTTAGAATACATTTCAGATAACAAAGTGTATTTTTAAAAAATCCCTTCCTGTCATTTCAAACAAATGGAGAATATTTATGATCTAAATTGAATGAAAAACTTGTTTTTTTTCCTTGACGCATGTTTACTTTTCTCAAATATGATGAGGTAAGGAGACTCCCAAGGAACTGAATCAGTCCTGATAATCGACATTGTTTTGGGACGTTGACCTACCTCGTTATGTAGCAGAAGGAAGTTCTGTGATATTGAGATCAAATTATATTAATTTCCTAATTTAGCTAACTTTCCTTCATTTTTTCCCCTGAATTAATTAATATAATGGTGGAAGTTGTCATAGATTTTGATCACCAGAGGTCATTGCTCAGATGTGTGCATTTTACACAGGGTGAAATTTTTCAGGATTTGACATGATTTAACAAAAGGAAATGAAACTGCTGCTCCTGCCGGTGATGTCCCAGGGAGCCCAGAGGGTGCCCCCCAGACAGAGTACACCCCACCCACTAGTATTCTCCATTTACCTTGGTAGGAGGGATAGCGTGTTTGTTTCTTTTCCTGTAGATGTAAGAGCACAAGACAGAAATGACTTTTTCGTCCCTTGAAACCATCAGATTGCCTCTCTGCAAAGGGGCTGACCTTCAGTGTCTTCCCTGCTGCGTATCATTGCCCCACGTCCTGACAGAAAATTCTTTGGGGAGATTTGAAAGCTAAAATTTCTAAGTGTTTTCCCCATTGTCTGGTTCAGTCAGTGCTGTTCATTCTCATGGCCACTGAGTGGTTATTTTCATCTACCATTTCACAGTAGAAACCCTTTCTCCCCTCCTGCTTTATTCAGTGTGTTTAATCCCCTACCATTGGTCTGGTGACACCATCAGTACTGTTGTTCTGAAGGCCATTTGTTTAAATAGACATCAGTACTTCATCATTCACCGTTTTTAAAATTTAAACTATAGCTAACTCTATACTTATGCTGCTATTTTAGAAACTGAAATTTTCCTACTACATAGCTGTGTGTTTATTTGACTCTAACACATAGGATATGACTTTGAGGGAGAAGGGAAATCTGCTGCCATTTGGTATAACTTTGGGAAACTAATGTTACTTGGACATTTTTATTTTATTAACATTTTAAGGCCTGCAAGTTAAGAGCTAGTAAAAATCTTCATTACTCCTCACTCAGGAGAAACAGTACGCAGCTTAAAACTGAAAGCACTATCATTTAAGTATTAGAAATTGAGTAGAGACATACGCTATTGAAAAGGGAAATCTTCATGATCGTTGTATAATATAATACATGTTCTTTTTGTAGGGTGCTAGAACCCACAAGAGCATAAAGTTTTACGTTTATATTTTTACCTTTCTTACAAGGGCCAGTTATGCTTTAAAAGGGAATAAGAAGGGAAATTGTAAAAGTCAGTATGGAAGGGCAAGGAGCAACAAAGAGATATAAAGCCCTTCATCGGCCACACATACCAGTGCTGGCTGCCCGGGAAGCGACTGGGGAACTCAGGGAAGATGGGAAGCTCCACTTACAAAGGTGACACACTGCCGAGTGAGGGGAGATGCTCCCCAACTGAGAGCACTGTGGCTTCTGCTCAGGAACAGCTGGAAAGAGCACCATTCCAGACCCAACAAGGAAAAAAGCCAGTAAAACAGAAGCACATGATATTTTATGAACCCATCGGAGTGCTGGGGTTACAGGGCAGCCAGCAGGTCCCAGACTGAAGGTGGGCCATACCCTCGGAGAAGAGCAGGTGAGCCCTGGCGTGTGGTGCACCGGCTGACTGAGTCAGGTCGCTTGCAAGAGACTAACCATTTCTCAGGTACAGCACAGAGAAGGCAAGAAGCTGAAAATGGGCAGATACTGAAAAAAAAGTTCTCTAGCAAGCCAGCTACCACCTGAAGCACTAAGTATCACTCCAGGCATTTGAGAACTGTAACCCACTGAGTAAAACTGTAGCACCACAGACCTCCAGCTAGGCCTAAAACTTAATCAGGGTGAACAAACGCAGACCCAGCAGAAGGAAAGATGCATACAGTCTGCTCTGTCCTGTGCCATTGTTCAGTTTTCAGTTGTGAAGCTTATGCAAAGCCAAGGGAAAAACTCCCAAGAGACAAAAGAGACATCAGAACAAGAGTCAGATATGACATAGATATTGGAACTGTCTAACAGAGAATTTAAAATAACGATGACTAATACATTAATGGCTTTAATGGACAAAGTTGGCACCATGCAAAACCACATGGGTAATCACAGTACAGAGATGGAACATAAAAGGAAGGATCCAGTGGAGATGTTAGAAATGCTAGAGGTGAATATATGCTTTTGCTGGGCATCCAACACGACCAAGAAAAGAATCACTAAACATGAAAATAGAGATAGAAATTACACAAGCTGACACAGGGAGAAACATACAAAACAGAGCATCTAAGAATTTTGGCACAATGATCTAACATAAGAGTAATTGGAATCCCAGAAGAAATACTTGAAGAAATAATGGCTAAGAGTATCCCAAAGATCCAGAAAACATCAAGTAACATAAATACAAAGAAAAGAAAAAGGAAAGAAAGAAAGAAAAGAGAAGGAAAAAACTAATCAAAAGCTAAAAACACCACACTCTTGGGCATATCATATTCAAACTTCTGAAAACAAAACCAGAGAGTATCTTGCAGGGAGTCAGCCAGAGATAAAAAGATAGATCACAGACAGAGAAATAAATGTAAGAATTACCATAGACATTTCTTAAGAAACCATGCATACTAGAAGACAAAAGAGTAACGTCTTCAAAGAAATGTCAATGCAAAATTCTGTACCTAGTGGAAAGTATCTTTCAGAAATGAAGGAGCTATAAAGATTTTCCTAACAACTGTGGGAATTTATTGCTAGCAGATCCATTCTATAAGAAATGTTAAAGGAATTTCTAAAGGTGGAAGGAATATGATACCAGACATAAGACTTGGATATTCACAAAGAAATGAAAAGCACTGGAAATGGAATTAATGAAGATAAAATTAACTTTATTTTTTACTTACTTTTAATTGCTGTAAAAGATAATTTTCTAAAGCAAAAAAGTCATCTGCATTTACAGCATATGTAAAATTACTGCAAACTGGAAGGGAGGTATTAGGAATATACTGTTGTCAAGTCCTTATGCTCTGCTTGAAGTATATTATTTGTAGGAAGAAACTACTCCTTAGAGATATGTATTGTAAACTTTAGGACAATTATGAGAAAAGTTTTTAAAGAAGCGTAATGACGTCAGTAAAGGAGATTAAATGGACTGTAAAACAATTAATATGCAAAATGAGGCAGAAAAGGAGGAAAAAACAAACAGACGTACCCCAGATCAAACAAATGGAAAATACCTAGCAAGATGGTATATTTTAATCCAGCTATATCAATAATTGCATTAAATCTGAATGATCTCAGTACACCAGTTAAAACACTGAAACAGTCAAATTGGATGAAAAAACAAGAGGCAGCTGCATATTATGTACACAAGAACTCATTTTGAAAATAGGTTAGCAAAAGGTGGGAAAGATTAGACCCTGCTAACGGGAATCAAAAGAAAACTGAGAAGCTCTATTAAGTCAGAATAGTCTTCAGAACAAGGAACATAATCAGAGTTTCAGAGGCATATTGAATAATGACAAATGGGTTGAATCTCTGAATGTATAAAGATTTATGTAATGTATAAATGTTTATGCACCTACCATTATAGAACTTCAAAATACATGAAGCAAAAACTGATGAAAAAAAACAAACCTTCAAAGAGAAATAAATCCACAGTGATAGTTGGAGAATGCAACACACTGTAATTGGTAAAAGAAGTAGACAAAAAATTGATACACAGAAGACCTGAACAACACTGTCAACAAGACTCACCTAATTCGCATTTATGGAACATACCAGTCAACAACATAGTACATATTTTTCTCCAGGGCACATGGAAATCCATCAAGGTAGACAATATTCTGGGCCATAATACAAACCTTAGCAATTTGTAAAGAATAGAAATCAAAGCAAAGTATATACTCTGAGCTAACAAATTATAAACTAGAAATCAGTAACAAGAAAAATGTACCTAGAAAATCCCCAAGTGTTTGGCAATTAAATAGCACACCTCTAAACCACAGGTCCAAAAGGAAGTCTCAAGGGAAATAAAAACATTTTGAACTGAGTGAACTGAAAAGACAACATAACATTGGTGGGATGCAGCTAAAGCAATGCATAAAGGGAAATATAGAACATTGAGTGTTTTTGTGGGAAAAAGAAGAAGGGTCTCAAATCAGCAGTCTAAGCTTCCTTAAGAAATGAGAGTAAAGCAAATTAAATCCAAAGTATGGAGAAAGAAAGAAAGAATAAAGACTAGATATTAGTGAAACTGAAAACAGTAGAGAAAATTAATGAAACAAAAGCTAATAAAAACAAAATTAACAAACTTTTATATGGAACAAAAAAAAAGGAAAAGAAAGAAGACACAAATTGCCAACATTGGGAATGAAAGACCCTAATAGATGTTAAAGGGACTACAAGCAACTCTGTCCCCATAGATTTGACAACTTAGAAGAAATAGACAAATTACTGGAAAGAAAGAAACTATTAAAAGCCAATGAAGAAGAAATAGATAACTAGAGAGATGTATCTATCTTTTTTTTTTTGAGAGGGCATCTCTCATATTTATTGATCCAATAGTTATTAACAACAATAAAA